GAGGCAGCCAAGAACTCCTTGGTAACCAAAGCACAGAGGAACAGAGGGGCCGGTCCTACACCCCTCCCGCTGTGTGTGTGTTTGTGTCTGTGTGTGTCTCCGAGGACTGGACTGCCTGAGGGGGGAGTGGTGGTGGTGGTGATGGTGATGGGGGGAGTGTCGGACACAGTGTGTGTTAGAGAGAGAGGGAGATAGGGGTAGACGCTCATTGTCGGCGTAGTAGATGCTCACACACACTCTTAACCACCGTGTTGTGAGAATGTGAGCTGACACCAGTGGTCCTTCGTCCCGTCTTCTGTCCCTCTTTGGATTTGGATTTTTTTGTGCCTTACAGGGACAGGTTTTTTTTTTTGTTTTTTTTTTTTTCTAAACGAAGAGACACAATCAACTGGAATAATGGTGTTCATCGGGACCTCGTTAAAATCTGTGATTAAATACTTTAAAAGGAAGGGTAAGACATGTTCCTCTGCTCTATTTTGATTATTAATGTGTCGTATAAGTAGTTTTGGACTTCACACGACAACTGGAACAGAAGAACAGATTTGCATAATTTTGACAGGAATTTTATTTACGTGTCTGAATTTTGTCCATTTTTAAAACTAATTTGAATAGCCATTTCAAATTTCTTCTATTAAAAGTTCTGTCTAGTGCTGTATCAAAAGTGGACGCCTGCCAGCTTTAATGATTTTTAAATAATTTTATCACAATCTAGTGGTTTCTGGTGGGCATATTGCCTCACCGCTGCCTCTGCTGAGCCCGGAGACAGCCTTCTGTTGCACCCTGTTACCAGGTAACCACTGGGCCAAGACTTCACAGAGCCGACAACTATTAGCACTAAATGACCCAACAGCGTTTGTAAAGGTGGCAGCTGGGAGCACTTAGAATCACAGCTACTCTTTTTACCTTCATCCGGGAACAATTTAGAAGTTTTCAATGTTCATTTAGTCCTAAACGTTTCACAGAATCTGATCCTGATATCAAAAGAAACCAGGTCTGTGTGCCATGTATGTACAGTAGATTACGGATAGGAGGATTAGTTCATGCTCCAAGGCTATTATTTTATTAATGGCTGCGTACTAAGCACGTGAGGATGTTTAACAAAGACCCCGGTTGATGCAGGGCAAGCTGCTTGTGTTGACTGTAATCTCAGGTGTATTTATAGGTTGTGTTACAGTCAAGGCTGAGGTGATATTGTTAATCATTAGCTCAGCGTTTTTGTACTTCACAGCAGGTCTTATCTTGCCATCTTGCAAATGCCTGCACATTGGTCCTCCCCTGCAGTCCTGAGGGTAGTGAGCTCCAAATTGAGTAGTGCTTATATCCTCAGATTTTTCATAATATCAAGAGTGCACAAACTTTTTAGACACTAAAGGAGGAAAAAGTAGGACTGCACATTAATTTGGGTCAAAGGTTAAACACTCCAATGGAGGATACCTCGACATTTTACCAGAAAAAATGTCTTTTTACATTATGAAGAAGACCTGTTAGGAGATGTATTCCTTTCCTAATCTCTAAAATTGACCCGATCCAACCCCATGACGACCCCTACAAAGCACAGAAAGTTGTTACATGCACACAATCAATACTCTATTGGCTGGTGGGTGATCCAGGACCCAGTTCAGGATTAACACAGATAATTGATCATAACAGCCAATAACTTCGGTGCACATGTGTTTGCATACAAATGCATCCTCCAGGGATTACTATGTGCAGGCGCCTCTGCATCTTTAGCGCCGATGCACCTTGCAGCCTGTTTGTCTTTCTGAGATTCCCAGTTCGCTCCCAGTCTGTTGTTAATGCACGCAGGGAGAGCTGGGATGTCAATGGACAGAGGGATTAGTAGACTTCTGAAAGACTTTCGCGCCACAGTCCAGTGTGTGTGAAACTCTGTGTGTGTGTGCGTTGAGGGGCTAGGGCGTATTGTGGCACTGAAAAGCCTGATGTGGAGACTGATGCAGAGGGACAATACAGGCTTTGTGTCCATAGTCCCCCATGTCCTTGGTCTGCCTATAGCCTTACTGAGGTCTATTCAAACCCCACAGTCAGAGAGGAGGGTGGGGGAGGGCTACCTGTGCAAGAGAGAGCACGAAATATAGGAAAAGGGTTTCTCAGGGAATGGGTGATGTAAAATTGTCATTTATCTAGGCGAGCTGATTTGAGGATGTACTCTCATCCTCTCACAGCTGGGGCGTCACTGCCTTGCTCGTAGATGTGAAGTGACAGTTATTTAAGAATGGGTGGCGCTGTGAGATTTAAAACCAACTTCTAGCCTGCATCTCTGACCTTCACCTTTGAAACTCCACTGAACTGTGATGTGTGTGTGTGTGTGTGTGTGTGTGTCTAACTGTCCAGTCCGGACTTGGTCAGGGGACTTTTGCCCCGTGATGTATTTCATCGATTGATCTGACCAGTGCAGGCACTCTGGGAGACAGCATGTGTTACAGCATGGGGAGACAACACAGTGACACCTCATTTACATGTACACAATATCTCACGTTTGCGCCCATCGCAAACCGTCACATAGTGTTGACATGTAACTGTTTGTGTTGTTAGGTTTTGTTTTGACCCTCCCCCTCAGGCGTGTGGTGTGGCTGTCTGACTTCTCCCCTTGTCACATTTGGTTCAAACATACGCAGATGTGCATATGTGGTATTTGTACTTTGAAATGACCAGGCATGCAGCAGACGTTTAGGTTTGAATGTAGCAGCAAAACTGGGAAGAGGGGGTAGAGATTTGCAAATGTCTCCGAGGTGAACTAAGAATCCAAAAACAAGAAATGGGCAGCCCCCTCACTCTGACATCTCTAATGCTTTCTTCTTTTTCATTTTTTTTTAAAAAGGTAATGTACAACCAACAATCTACATTAATGGTCTAGTCTGTCTTATCAATGTTTGGTTGAAAAGGCTACCATAAAGTTACAATAATCCTACACTAATAGCCGTATTAGACAACAAGAAAGTTGTTGATGAATTCGTCGTGATGAAGTCATTGGCTTCTGTGTTTAACAGCAAAACTATAGGAAAACATCAGTTTACAAACTCTCACACAACCTGTGCAATATAATCCAAGTCTCATTTATCCATTGGTACGCTCCATACTTCCCAAACACATGTATTTTCATTAAAACCTTGGCATTTAAAGCTGAACTGAAAGTGAAGCTTGTCTTTGCTATCTTTAAAACCAGACTCCATTGATAAAAACAGTAATTTTACCTTGCTAAAGACGGGAACTGCTGGTTCTACTGCTCCCTGGACCAGTAGTTTGTTTGTGTATTGTGTAACTTTGATGAAGCCAGACGAGACCAACAGCTACCGTGTAGAGCAAGGTAAATATACTGTCTTTGTAAATGGAGTCTGGCTTTGACAAGCATAGACAAGTTTCACTTTTGTTCAGTTCCCCGTTGGAAAGGACTGTCTGTTTGGAAAGTACCGAGTATGTATATGACTTTGTAAATGGATGTTCTGATATAATAGATAGTGTTGCTGCTGTTAAATGCAGCCCCCTCTCTGTTTTGGGATTCTTTGTTCACTAGTGGCATGCGAGACAAACAAAGTTCACAAGCTCAACTTAACACAGGCAGAGTAATTGATATACAAATGATCTTTTGGGGGGTAAAGTATTCCTTTAAGGAGCCGTTAACAGCTGCTCATTCCTCAACAAGCTGCGGATAGGGACATCAAGGTACCATTAGTCTCCGGCAGCAGTAGGCCTTGGCACACTGCACTGTCCCTTAAAAATAAATCCATAAAACTCTGCTCTGCTGTTCTCATCAGTTGCACACTGCTCTTACAGTCACATGTAAGAAAAGTTGGACTGGCCACAGAAGAGCCTTTAAGATGGCCAGGCATTATCTGTACATCAAAGCGGTTACACGCTGTCTCACTTTCTCCAACGACCAATTTGCACTCCGCCCTATACCTTCACCTCGGAGTCATTCTGTCCTCCCCCGACACACACAAACACACACACTATGCATCCTACTACGGCTCATTAGCAGCTGTGAAAAAGCACTCAAACGAAAACACTCCCAGCCCCTTTCATGACCCGTCCCCTTCCTCCTGGTTCCTCCAAACATACTCATCAGATCAGTCCCAGTCAGATGGACATGTTGTGATGGTCAGCACAGGGACAAACAGATAGCAGTCTAAATGGAGATAGTCCTGCATCCACGATCACCAACTTTGGCTTGGATACGCTCGCTTGGTAAGCTTATCTTTTGGGATGTGTGTTTGTTATATTGATATTTACACCTCAGTTGTTTGCTGACACTTGTATTTAGAGTGGCTTACAGTTGCAGCATTGGAATAAGCTTCAAGTTGCAAGAGAGACAAGGAAATGCCTCATAATGGTGTGTTAGTATTTCTTTGATGTTTGACTGAGAGTGGTGCTCTAGAAAATAAAATAAAATACAGCAAACAAGGAAAAGGGGCTGTATGCCTATCTTGTAAAGAAAGACAGTTGGGTGACTATGGCAGCTGTTTCTGTTGATCTAGCTAGATGTTAAACCGACTGAATGAGTGTGGCTTGGTGCTGAAGCATGCAGTTTTGTTGTATGGCTTCAATGCTATAAGGGTAAAATTTACTGTAGCTTTCGGAAGTTTTCAGTAGCCTGTTTGAATTTCCAAGCTGGATATCATCTGGTTCGGGGTTCCCTCCAACTTACTCTTTATCCCTCCTCCCCCTCTGACTTGTGTGGCCGACTGTGTGATGTCTCAGATAGGTGTTATGTTGTTCGTGTGGAGACTGGCACCTTGATGCAAAGCACCTCCATTTCCTTCCCGTTCCTTTTCTACGCCAAATATAAACAAATCCGTCCAGTAGCTGCTACTGCTTGTACAGGACATTATCTAGTCTGTATTTTAATGTTTTCAAAGGCTTGAAAATTATAATGTAAAGAGGGCGTTTTAAAAGATTCCTCAGAGATCCACTAGGGTGATTACCACTGGAAATATAACTGAAGAGAAACTTAATTTTCTTCTCCTATCTGTGTGTTTCTGCAGCGGTGTCTAATCTGGATGAGGAGAGCAAGTGGACGGTTCATTACACAGCTCCGTGGCACCAGCAGGAGAACGTCTTCCTACCAGGCAGCAGGCCGCCCTGCGTAGAAGACCTCCACCGTCAGGCCAAAGTCAATCTCAAGACCGCCCTGCGAGGTAAGGACCATTTAAACTGGGCTACTAAAGAGAGTTTGATGAAATCCAATGTGATCACAAGCAGGACCAGGGTTAGAGGAGTCATTTTACAGCTTATGTAAAGAACCTGATTACCGCCTGTCACCATTGTTTCATGTTGACATTTTTAAAACATGGATAAAATTAACTTCTTATGAAGGGAAACTTAACTTCCACAGTCATCCTGTTTGAAATTCATGAGCCACTTGAGCAATTTGACAAGTCACAAGCCACATATAGTTTAAAAAACAACAACCTTCAAGCAACAGTTATTTTAGGAATCTTAATCTATGTTTTAGTCTCAACCTGCTGAAACAAGGGAGGATGGGTGTTGTGAAAATTCTCAGGTATGGTAAGGGAGTCCAGTGTTGCAGTATTCTTTGACAATGAATAAATCATATATGGATTGGACTGCATTTATATAGTGCTAGGCCAAGTGACCATTCAAAGTGCTTTTCAACACAAGCACCATTCATACACTGATGGCCAAGGCTACTATGGAAGTTGCCACACTTAAACATCTCACACACACCAATGGTACAGCAACTGGGAGCAGTTTTGGATTCATTATCTTGCCTAAGGACACTTTAGCATGTAAACTACAGGGGGCCAGGGATCAAACTACCAAACCTCTGACTAGTGGCCGATCGCTGTACCTCTTGTGCCGCAGCCACCAGTTGAAACATTGCATCTTCCTTGACCTGTCGAGGTGACTTGTTTTGTCTGAATCCTTTAAAACGGAAAACAATCTGCACATCTGAAAGGTGGAACCAAAGACTTTTTTGTAATTTTTCCTCAAAGACACAACAACCATCAAGCGATTAACAAACCTGTTGCACATCAATGTCAAAATAACTGTAAAAAAAGTAATCAACTAATTTCTTTGGCTCTAATGTAAATGATTATAGTTCAAATATGTTTCTAAGTTAATACCTTTAACTATCTCCAATAAATAATTTAAATAATTGTCTTCACATTTGTCATTTGTCATCAAGGTAAAGATCAGCTGTATTCGTTAACGACATTGTAAAATTGTCCAAACCTGTAATTTGTGTTTAGTCTAAACTTTAGCCAACAACACGTCAGTGTGAGATCCTCATCTTCCTGTTTGTCCAGTAAACTTAGATAAAATCAGACACATCCTTGCTGTCAAACAAACACAGGGAGTGGAGTCACAACAGAGTGACGACTTCTTAATATTTTCACAACATTCCCCGAACAGGAAGTGGGAATAGCGGTAAATGCTGGCACCAATTTCGCTTAGAGTTTCTGGGAAAGCTGTCCACTCATTTCTCTTAGATAAGAGTTTGAGAGGCAGGTGTGAGAAAAGGCTTGGATGTGTGTACATGTGTGCGTATGTGTGTGTACACGGGTGGGTGTGTTACAGTAAAGGCCTGTTGTTTACACATGAGGGCGGCCTTGTGTGCTCGCAGATAAAAAAGACACTGATAAAAGGAGAAAGAGAGATAAATGGGGGAGAGGCCGGTTGTAACGTGATGCTTACGGTGTGTCAAGCGTTAGTCACCTGCTGTAAAACAAACACACACACACACACACACACACACACACACACACACTGCAAGCTGTTTTTGTCTTGCCCATTGTCTGACCCTTGTGCTGTTGGTGTTGCGCATTACTTCCTGCAATATTGATGTTGCTAGGTACACGAATGCACAGACACCACATGGGAGGTGGGATTAATTCAGCCCCCCTTTATCCTGTCACTGTCCTGTCATCACCACCCAGCCCCAGGGGTCCTAACTGAAAGACAACAGGTGTCCAGTGAGAGCACCTGTGCTGCCTGTTTGAGTCTTTTTGTGTGTTTTAGCTCTTTAATACTTTGTTAACCCCCAGGAAGTTGAGAGCAGAGGTTACACACCCAACTACAGCCCAGCCTTAAGTAACTATAGTCATCAATTTCGTTTTTTTTAAGGCATTGTGTCCAAATACAACAATTCACCTAATCTGTAGCAATTAAACTCCCATAATTTACATGTGTAATAGTATTAACTGTATGTTTTACAAGGTATTTTATGTATTTGAGGTTATATCAGGACGTAATACCAGGCTCAACCCCTGCCCTCATGCACATGCAGCCAGTCACTAAATCCAGTGCCATCAGCATGAGCACAACAAGCTGCACGAGTCTGCTTTCTGCTCTGCAACGCCAAATAATCGATAACCAATCAGGTGGCCATGTGTATCTATTCTTTCTTTTCATACACTCACGTGGGTTTCAGCTTGTGTTTAGCGCAGAGGCTTTCGCAGGCAGAAAACGTGCAGACAGGTTGAAGTTACGTAACAATCATATGTCGTGTTGTTGTCAATAATATCCCAAAAATTATGCATTAGTTTCATGAATGATGTCATTCAGTGATAACAAAGGGGACGAGATTTAGAAGACTTTAATGTCCTCAAAGGGGCAGTTTGTGGTTCAGCACAGTAAACATAATGTAAACACAATTAAAACTGGAATTCAACTGAAAGTAGACGGTAGCATCAAACTGCTGCACCCCCTTTCTACAGTTGTTGAAATGTTTTCCTAGTTTGTTACACTGACAAAGGATGCTCTTAATGAAACACTTTACTTTATAATCAGTATTAAAGAGGTTCAGTTTTCTAAGATAATACATGCAGCATTGGCATTTTTTGAAAATCCCATCAGCACATTGATCCAAGAAAAGCTTGTGGTCTACAATAAGCGCCAGGTACTCTGTCACCACCTCGATCTCATGCCCTCTAATCTTAGCTAGAGTGGGTGGAGAGGGGTCACACCTAAAATTAAAGATCAGCTCTTTGGAATTGGGTGTATTCAGATTGAGATATGATGCGTCACACCGGTTAGAAAACTCATTCAGGGCAGATCCATGTCCTGAGTCTTGCTCCTCTAACAGGCTGACCAAAGACATGTCTTCTGCCCTAGTTTGTTTACAGTGTTTATGTAAAAGCTCGGGTCAATTTAATTAAAAAAAATATTGCTTTCAAGCTCCAAGTTGCCCATAATCATCCGTTCTTATCATCATAATCAGCTGTTGTGGTGACATTTAACCTGAATAACTTTAAAGCCATTCGGAGTGATGAATCTTTCACCTGAATCAGCTGCCCTTGGCTTTACAGAGCTTAAAGTGACTTTCAGCTGTCTGCCAGCAACTTATTATTTTGGTCCACTCTTATTGCTCTCATAGCGTTGTTTTTGGCCGCAGGAGACAGCTGTTTTAAAACTTAAAAGCTCTAAAATCCTTAGATTATTCAGGTGTCTTAAAGTATGACTCCAAATGATTGATAATATTGCATCTTAATTAACAGATGTATTAGCAACTGTTTGCCAGAAAGTTTGCCATTTCAATTCAGACACAACTTGTTTCTGCTGCCCTCAAGTGACCAACAAACACCAGTTATCGCAGGTTCATAACTACCTATACAATGTTGGCTTGAAGCACCAAAGAGATCACAGTGAAGGTCACCGGGTCCTAAGTGGTAGACATCTAACCAGGGTCAAATCACATTTGAAAATATAATTATTGCACCTTACGCAGGCTCAGAATACGTGTCGTTTTCCATGTATTACATTACACTGCCTGACTGTCCTTTATGTGTCTTTTGGTCTCTTTCTGTTGCACTAAATCGGCACAACACTGCTCAGGTTGATTACTATTTGCAAATTTGATTAACATGCCACCTTAAAATATATACAGACACACCCTGTTCATATTATTATATTGTATTTGTCCTCTGTATCCTTCAGTCATTGTGCTTGTCTTCTCTATTGTCACTTACCAGTCCCCTCCCTTCAAATCTGCCTAGCAACAAGCAGCTCATCAAGACTTATTTATTTTATCAACCTTCCCCAATCACGCAACACCAATCATCGCCCCAGCTCCACTCCCCGTCATCATCCTCATTATCATCATGCTCTCTGAATCCCTTCTTCCACACCACTACCACATCAGCGTGTTGTTACAGTTGCTACCTTTGCCAACCCCATTAGGATCCATTAGCTGACAGTATTATACATGCACCAGCGTGTCTCTCCACAGAGACGGGCTGTAATTAGCCACGGAGATAGACGGCACATGAAAGGGATCAAAGGCAGCATCTCTGAGGTGCCAGGCTGGGAGTGATGTGCATGTGCTTTGGAACATGTGTGTCAGGCACCAAAGGGGATTTTGATTGAGCATCACACACTTAATAATTTCCAAAGATGCAAGATAAAAGAGCAGTGAGGTTTTTTACAGTTGTATGGATCAGGGATAACGTGCACAAAAGACAAATACGACTCATGTACTTGTCATTTGATACGACACGTCAAGTTATTGAAATACAAATGTGTACAGTGTGCCATCAAACAATTGGGATTTCTTTATCCTTCAGGCAAGCAAACACAAAACCCTCGGGTGTGTGTTTTAGCAGCACTACGTAAATATAACTAACTATTCTTACAAGACCAGACAAAGGATGCTCTGGTGGATATTTGCAGAGGGAAAAGGAGGAAGACGATGTGCTAAACGCCCCCTCAGAGAAAGAGGGGGATGGAGGAGAGAGAGGGACAGTTCTGCCATCTGTGTGTGACAGACTGAAACTGATACCCCCCTCCTCTAGTAACACACACACATTCATTTATAAACTCTGTGCTTATCACGCATCGGCGTACACACACACTTGCACACATACATCACAACCCCGTCGCAGCAGGTGGTGACAAGAGGAGGTGTGAGCAACGCTTGGCAGCGTCCGACAAGGACTGCAGTCATGTGACTGACACACAGACACATTTGAGTGTTCCACAGCTTCGCATGTGTGCTTGTGTCCTATAGATATTTCACACATCCCTCCTGCTATAGTGTCACATATTTGTATACTGTATGCACAAATTAGCTTGTAGAATACACACAAAGTATTCCCAATAGATCAATATGTAGTAAGTCAAAGTTAAATTGATAAAAGTCAGACTTGTGGTACATAAATGCATCTAACATTGGCAAAAGATGTGACCTGTATCACACTCAGAAAAGGGAGAGAGGTCTCAAATAGAAACTTGTGATAACCGTTAGTATCTGGTTCCTACAGAAAAAACTCAAACAATTCCCGAGGGACACAAAAGAAACTCACAAAAGAAAAGATTAGACACCTAACCTCATGATTACAAGATCTCATAATTACGAGACTAGGATTTCAAAGTTATGAGAAATCCTAGGGTCAATTGTCGCTAACATAGGCTACGAGATTAGACAATGGAAACATTTAATCTGCTCTTCCATCTCAATATGAGACACTGGGAACATTTAATGTGGATGGTGTTAATATGCTTATGTCAGCACTGTGCAGCCATGTCAGGTTGTTCGCGCTGATCAGGCCAAAAGTCCAGTCTGACCGGCTAGAAGTTGCTCTCTTCCTGCTGCAACAGTGTAACCAATACGGGATGTTTAAAGGATCTAAAGTCATGCATTTCTAGTTTTTTAATAGGTGCAAGATCTTTTATCATGCGTACAAGAACGTTTCTTGTTCTTATGTGATATCTAAATATATTTTTTGTGTCTATAACACGTCTGTCTTTTTCAATTTGTCCTGCAGAATGTGACAAGTTGAGGAAAGATGGTTTCCGGAGCTCCCAGTACTACTCTCAGGGTCCCACCTTTTCTGACCCCTTACAGTCCACCAGCAGCCTGCAGGATGAGGAGGAGGATGACAATGACAAGAAGGTACACACACTCACAAATACACACACTAAGTGTAACGGTCACTTAAAGTGGAGTACATACAAGTGCAGTTATGTGTGTGCATGCAAGAGCTGTTAGTGGAGCATGGCAACTCACCTCTTGTGATTTAAATAGTGTCAGTCTGCCCTCTAGTGACCAGAAATGAGAATGCATGTTTGTCTCAGTGAACAGGAGTTGCTTTTCTGCCTCCTTCCCTGACTTAACTTTCTAATTTATTTTCTACAAAGAGAATTAACATCTTTAAATTTACTCGACTTACACAGAAATAACCTGAAACCCATGTAGCCATAAGTCTAGTTTAATAAAAAAGTTCTGCACTTCCTCATTGTGCTAATCAATGACATCAGATTTGGTGGTAGTCTATCAGGATTAATGATGCCATAGAGAACCAGCACTAAGCTAACACTCACGTTTCATCATGACTGTCAGCAGGCATCATGAAAACGTTAAACTGAATGTTCAACTCTGTTTTAATCGTGTCTCCTTCTCTGGTCTGTCATAACACCACAGTCAGATCCAGATGTACAGAAAGAATAAACACTTACAAGCTTTTGTTGTTTTCCCATTACACTTGTTTTTCCTCTACACTTGGTGGGGCTGTCGTTCGTCTAATGTCACACCATTGTAATTTCACAGAAGGGTGATAGATGGAGGGAGATAAAGAGGCAGAGATGAGAAGACAGAGATAAAAACAAAACAAAAACAGAGACAAAAACTATTATTATCACTCTTTTTGCTGACAGACCATTAGTGTGAAGTGAAGTGTAAATGGTTCGACAGTCTAATCTGCTGCCTCTGCTTTCCTCTCTGCATTTTTATTTCTCACACACGCTATGATATGCGGGGTCCCCAGAGGGTCTTTCACTGTTATTATCAGTGTCTCCTTTGTCTCCCACAGAGCCCCTCGTTTCATGCCTGCCCCGACCCTTGACCTTCATAACACACTGTTGTCTTTCTCCCATCTCTCGTGATCTGTCTTTTTACTCTCCGCCGTCACTTCATGTTGTCCTGAGGCCAGTGAGCCTAACTTTGCCTGACAGCAGCTTCTAAAGGAGAAACGAAGCTGCAGGTTGAGCCACAATGCAAAGTACCATGCCATGCCTCCCACCAAACTATGGATGTGATCTTTTCTTTACATCCCTCCCCTCTGTTGCCTCCCCCATTAATCCATCCGACCATGCAGGGTTTGTGTGAAAGCTCTAATAGCTATCTTTTCGAGCCAGTCTGATGTTAGAGATTGCCAGGAGGAACCATAATGGACACAGGAAATGATTGCTGGGTGTATGTGACAGATTCTGGACAACTTTATTCCTGCAATTTTCAATCTTTGACCAACAAAACCTCACCGAGGATTTTTTTTTTGCCATGGTGGCAAGGCTTATACTGTTGCAGATGCAGCCAGGCAAAATTTGGGTGGTGCAGTGAAAGTGATGACCAATGATTTTTGTCCCTGGAGTCGATATAATCAGAACAGTGTGTGCTTTGAATTTCTACCTGTGTTTGCTTGTGATTCAAAACAACTATTTCAAAATCTCCAGTGGACACTGACATCGACAGCAAACTGGAAAAAATAGCTGGTTTTCTGTTGACTAACAGCTCAATTTCAAGCCTGGCCGCTGCAGTAAAGAGCTGCTGTCTGTTGCCTCTGCGCAGTAAATCGTACCCCAGGATTGAGAACTGTTAGTGTGTGAACAACACAGTTTAATGCATGAGTGATTCTCTGTCTTTCTCCTCGCCGTCTGACATCTTTTAAAACGCTCTGTCGGTTTACACTGATAGATGTTGGTGTGTGCAAGAGTGTGTGTTTGTGTGTTTCCATTTGGGTTTGATTGATCGTGAAACATGTTTACAGCACCACAAGCCTCTAAGGTCACAGCGATGTAATATATTATTGTGTGTGCCAATAAAGTCCGTGCAGTCTGTCAGTTACAGTTTGGGACAATTAGGCTGTGTTTTGTTCTATAATATTCTATTCCCACTCTTGACATTTTTCTTCATCCATCACTCCATCACAAATATTTGTTTACCCCACATCATGTTTCGTCTTCCTCACCTCTGTCGCTCCCTTTCTCCTCACTTCATCCTGTTAACCCCCTTTTCCTCTTTCTCATCCAGTCAACAGCTTCATCAGCGGAGGACGAGAAATCCCAGCTCTCCATGAGGCCCCAGACCCCGCAGGGAGGGGAGGGGTATGAGGTGGACGGGCAGGTTGTATGGAACAAGAGCACACCCCTCCCCACCCCGGAGGAGAAGATGAGGCTGGCGGCTCAGGCTGTGCCCACAGCCATAGTTCCCATCAACGTCACAGGTAGGACGTCTTAGCAAACCTTAGTCATTCAACAACTTAGTCCATCTCTCAATCACTAGTGAGTAGCGACCTGTTCCCATCGGTGTTGGTAGTGGACGACAAATCTCCTGGTCCTCTAGTTCCACACGATCAAACCACTCTGAGTTTGATCTGGTCTCATTCGTCCCTGGTGTCTATGCTGTAACATTATACTCTCACCATCAATCACACTTTGTTTTGTTTGTCTCAAAGGAATTTTCTGACATCTAAAGCGTGACTGCTGTTTTACTGAGTTAGATGAGAAGATCAATATCAAGTTCATGTGTGAGTTTAATACGACAGCTTCCTGTCACTTGGAAAAATCCCGCAAGCTGAAGGAAACAGCTTGTCTCCATCCATAGACTGTATATAAGAAGTGGAAACAGCCACTGTGATGATTCATCGGTTTGTGGACTACCGTTTTGAAGCCTCGAGGCAGAAGTGCCCTATTGGGACTAGAAGGCGGAGCTGTAGAGAAGCAAGGGGTGGATCTGACTGAGAACCCAAGGACGCTATCCGCCTCTACCTGCAGCTTGACTGCTTCTGGCTCTTGGCTACACCGTGCAAGGCTAACAAAGTTCGCTTCCAACACACCCAAAACAAGTTCACGGCTGTTTAAATATACGCAGTGCCATTAATACGCATTGCTAAGCCGCTATCATGACTGACAGGTTGCTGTGGTAGCAACTTGTCAGTCACAAGGTAGCCACGCCCTAAAGCATACCCTGCTTTATTGTCTGTTTTAAACTAAAGCCCCCTTTCCACTTAACAGAACAAACCCACTAACATCTGCATTTGAGGAAGACTTGACATGAGTGATTGAGCTCATAAACTCATTAGACAACCAGATGCCCTTTTGCAGCCAGTGGAGTAGCTTTAAAAACTGCCTTATTAACATGTCATGTAATTTTATTGGTCTTCTCATCTAACTCTTACATAAGCAGCAAAAAAAAAGCAAATGTCAGACTGTTCTTTAATCAACCCTCTGTGGCTGAGTGGATATAAACTAATCAATTACTGTATCCAGTCATCCACAGAGGAAGAAACTGTATGTGTCAGTCATGGACGTCTGCCTTTCCTCCTGTACCTCTGTGTATATTTTCCCCCTCCATCATGCTTCTTGCAGACTGACCTTCACCTTCCTTTATGTGTGTGTGAGCGAGCGTCTGGGTGTGAAAATCGTTTGACAGCTTATCCGAGGGTCAAGGCTTTTCACCGACTTTGTGTCAGATCACAGGGCGTTTGACAGATGAACACAGCAAAACATGTCGATGCAATTCCCTATTTAGCATGTCACATTTCTCAGTGCCACACACATCCAGATGTAACATCTTTTTCTGCCAGTTCTGATTAATAGCATATTGTTTGTATGATGTTTCACTCATCTCACATCAGCTGGATATTTTTATGAGGCGTAAAAGAGATGCACAAAGACTCAAAAATCATGCCTCAGTGTCAATATCTGAATTTTGCTGTTGTCACGGCCAATATAACTGCGATCCTGCCATCTTTCAGGCGCTAATGAGTGCTTAATGTGGTCCCACTCGACACAAATCACTGTTGACTGCATCTCCTGTCTCTTTACATTACTGAGAAAGAGAGGGGAAACACACAGACACATACAGACAGAGAGAGATCAGGGACTTTACTGTCACTTTGAGGGGGGATATGATAGACACTATCTGCCCTCATATCAATTTCTATTTCCCTAACGCCTGCAGGCTGTCACCAGCTAGCCAAACAGCAGAAAGAAGGGCAGGTCCTAGTAAGATATTGCTCTTCCTTCAGGGAAGCTGGACAGAGAGTGAGAAGGTTATTGAGAAGAATGAAAGACGTGTGTGTGCATGCTTCACCTTTTACCTGTCCTGTGCATGTGTGTTTCCATGATAAGAGCATGCACTCTATATCTCACATATCTTACATGTATGTTTACACCTGAGTCACTGATGTTCAGGGTTGGAATTTAACACATCAAAAAAACCATCAGCCAAAAATTTCAAGTTGTCTTTGCCAGCTCCCGTTCAGTCAGCCATTGCTTCAGTTATTTTCTGTTTTTAATGAGTAAATGTGTGAAAATGGCTGATTAAGACTGAATTTTTAGGGACTTTGGCTGGTGGATGATAAAGTTAAAGGGTCAGCTCGCCCAAATTACAGAAAAGACTAGTCGATGAATCTTAAAAAAAAAAAAAAAAAAGAAGGTCCTGTCACGGTGTATTCAGGCTCAACATATACCATTAACTTCCTGAAGCTTTTACCTTCAACAAAGTTAAGTGGGAGCATATCTTGCAAGGTCATTGTCGTGATGAGCTGCGTTACTTTCTCAGACCGGGCGGGATCACAGCGTATCCGGGTGAACGATGTCAACTTGGCTAGCACCGCTAGCAGCAGCAACCGTTGCTCTGTGCAGGTTAACATCCAGATGCACATGCTGAATGTGGTTGCACATTGCTCCAGTCGAGCTCAGTTTTTTCTGACACAGCCTACATGCTACCTTGTTTTCATTTTCTAGATCAAAGTGCTGCCAAATCGCACTGGTTTTGCAAGAGGACAAGCATTACCGCGGGGAGGGCGACTGCTGTCTGACGGCTCTGTAGCACCCACTAGTGGCTGGCGGCCGCATGACAGTTAAGCAGCCTTGTACATGAATAAAACAGTAATTGGTTAACCGACTAATATTTCTGGTGCCGACTAGCGAGGGGACTGATGTTTAACTCTGACGACTAATCGCGGGCATCCCTAGTCTTTAGTAGGGATACCCAATATGCTTTGCCCAAGGACTACTTTTAACCTTTAAACATTTGCTGTCCTCACTCATTTTTGCACAGAGGCAGACTCAATGGCATCAGCCCAGCACAGGTCAGGTGTACGCAGGGGCGCTTAGCTCGGACCTCTGTCAGGGGTCTGGGGAGCCACCCTGGCACTGTTTTTCTAAATACAAACTCTATTTTGACATTTTTCATACACTCTAGCACCGTATTTACATTCAAAGTGCAGAAAATATTCCCAGTGCAAATCAATTTATTTTCATTGGAATTTAAAATACTTGGCGAAACACCCAGCACCCGAGCGCAGAGCTGTAAATCAAGTATCACTGAGCTATAAATTTCCTATAGTTAATTCTCAGTGAACTACTGTTTCATTCTGAAAACCATTCACAGCATGTTCTGTACCAGAGCTACTTTTTCAGTCAAAGATGTTGCTGATTTTTTCAGTACTTTGGGCAAACAAACACAAACAGGTTTCCAGTCACCTACGTTTTATTGGGGTGGAGTCGGGCCAAGTAAAGGACCGATATCTTAACACCTGGGCAAGTAAAACAAAAACTATCTGTATGGCAAAATAGATCCCACCCAAGGGAGACGAGGAAACTTTTTTCATAATTTGGCTGACCTGACACTTACAGTTTCTCAGCTTGTTGATGTTGCATGTTCAACTTGATAATAATTAAAAGAAAAAACAACCTTCTGCATGTTGTTGAGTTTGTGCCTAACAACTAACCAACTGCTGTTTGCCTGTGTGTCCGCCTGCCTTGCTCTCGCCCTCCCGGCTACCAGGGGCAGTGTTTGACCGACAGGCGAGCATCCGGCGCTCCCTCATTAACACTGACACCGTGTCCCGCCGTCCCAAGAAGGTCAAACGCAGAAAGACTATATCAGGGCTGCCTGACAACTTCAACCACGAGCTAGGTATGGAATGCTGTGGGCCAATATGTTGCCCTCTACTGTCCACTGACCTGATCCAACACTATGGATGAGCATCCCTCCTGCTGTCACTACATCCTATAACTTTATTCTCATAGAGTTACGCATAAATCCATTACTGTGTACATGAAGTGAAAAAGGACTAACAATACTAGGACTCACAGTATTGTTCTGTCATATTGAAACACATGCAAGTCCACAGTGTTGGATCAAGGCCCTGCAGATGTTTAATCTGTCCCTGTTTCAGTTCTTCATACCAAGTGTCCTCATTTGCTCTCCTCCACCCTGTTTCTCTGCACCAGCAGGAACCAGTTGTGAAATCCTTTTTCAGTAGTTTTGTGGTTTTCATTTAGCCATTTTTCCTCCTCTTGAAACTTTTGCACTCAGATAATCTCATTTTATACTCTGCCTGTTGGAGCATCGTGTCACATAGGAGAAGCTAAGTGCAGCGTTTGCCATTCTCATTGTGCCATAATCTTTCAGCTTAACTTTCTGCCGTCCCTTTTCTGTGACTTGTGTGTGTTAATTGTGTGTCTGTGTGTTAATCCATACTGATAATCTTAGCATGTGTGTCTTACTTACCAACATGTACTGATCATGAGAGAATGGGCCCCTGATCAGGGACACCTAAAAAGGCCCCACAATGTGCTTTTCAGAACATATGATCCTCAAACCCTCCAAACAGATGAGGGATAAATAACAAATATGAAGTTTTGGAGGTCCCCTGCCCTTAGTTACTCAGCTGAGCTGGGTGTTAAGCGAGCACTAAGCTTACTAAGCTGACGCTGTGCTGACGGCACCGCATGGCTGATGTTTATTTACACATCTCTGAGCTGTGGGACAGCAGCAGCGTTTAAGGAGAATGTCATTTCTCTGTGCGATAAGATCACCGAGGCTGATAGGAAAGGGGGTTTTAAGGTCTGGTTAGTGACCAGCTGACGACAGCCTCTGAATGTCATGATTACTGGGCCGGGGTAATTGTCCCAGTGCTTCATCCCTCCCTCTCCCCTGCACAAGAGCTGCCTGCGAAGTAGACCTGCAGCTTAATCTATCGCAGCAGCAGCAGCAGCCAAGCTGTCACTCCAGCTTTTAGCAAAGGAGGAAGAGAGTGTATGTGTGGTTTAGAGAGAGCGAGACGAGGGGGGGAGAGAGAGAAGAAAGGACGCAAGAGTGTGTGTATGTTTTGGGATACGAGCATCAACAGGAGAGGGACCACAGATGGGAGACACACTAGACATCCTCTCCCGTTTTACAACTCATTCTTCAATTTGTTTGTTTACTAGCTGGTATGTTCAGTGTGTGTGTGTCTTTGTGATGTCTGCGTTTCTGTGTGTCCTTGTCTCTGTGTCTACCTGCATATTCTGTATGTTCTGTCCTGTATGACAGTGCATGACCGTGTCAACACTGTGTGTGTTTGTCTCCATGTATGTGTTGTTGGCTGGCTCGTACCTGACCAGCTGCCTGTCCTGGACCTTGGGGTATTATTCGCTTTTCTGTTGGACTGAGCCAGAGCCAGAATAGGAGAGGAAGCATAGTAGGGAATCTCTCTGTCTGTCTTCTCCTCATATTCTTTCCTCCTTAATGAAGAAAACCAGAAGTTATTAACGCATGAGAGGGTTACAGCAAATCTAATTAATTAGCGTCCATGTGACCACAGTTTACCAAACAGTCAAGCCAGAAAAGCAGACGGCATTGTGGCTGAAGTAGTTACAGAAGCGTTGTGGAGACAGAAAAAAAAACAAGAGAGATTGATCATGTTTGTCTTATTTTCTTTCTTGCCTTGACAGCAGCAAAAGGACACGGCGGAGAGCTCCGGCCGCATTCCATGTTCATTCCAGGACAGTACTCCACCTTGGGCAGAGTTGGGAGCGTTAACTCAACGCTCCGACGTTCAGACACTAGAGACTCCGGCTGCCAGACGGAAGAAGTGAAAATTGTTCCCCCGTCCATGAGAAGAATCCGGGCTCAGAGAGGACAGGGAATTGCGGCTCAAATGGCTGGCCTCTCCACCTCCTCCTCAACAGGAAGTATATCCATCTCGAGTAGCGACAGCTCTGGGATCCTGATGCTGCCGCAGTACAACAGAGATCCTTCCCGTTTTCACAGTCTGCCCCGACAGGGCGCCAGGGTGTCCCTGAGTGCTGACCCCATCTGTAGCAGCACCCCGATCAAGGCAGGGGAGCAAACTACACCTCAGAGGCAAATTGGAAAGCTTCAGGTTGACGACACTGTGGTGCACATGAGAAGCGCCCCGAGGACAGGCACCCTGCCAAGGCCCAAGTCTCAGGAGGTAAGGGGGACACAGGCCAGTGATTGGGGTGGTGGTCCGGCATGTGTGGTCTCACCACATGCTGCCTATTCCACCTCACTCATCCCCAACGCCACCCTGTCTTGCTCCACTGAGGTCATTACCCTCAACACCTCGGGTCAGCACTCTCCAGCCTCAGCTTACCCCACAGCTCGACCCCTCAGTATGGCTTCCTCCATCAACGCTGACTCCAGTCCAGCAGGCTTTTCCCACAGCTCCACCTGCCCAGCCTTGGCTACTTCTACCCCCACTCATACACCAAAGGATGGCGGTCTGGTCATCACAGCACCTGCTAGCGAGTCAGGGCAATCGGACAGCAGCATACACAGCCACAGCACCTTGGCCCCAACGCCGCCATCCAGTCTGCCAGAGGAGCAGTGGGTCTACGACACGCCAGAAAACGTGGTGGTTCCACACCGCACTCTGACCTCCAGCTGCTCCACTCCTATAAACCAGCTGTATAGCAGCCTGGATCTCTCCTCCAGGACCACTACTGACTCCAGCTCCCTCTATTCCCAGGACAACGATGGATACTATACCTCCATGCACCTGGACTCAGGCCTGCGCTCTCGCAGCCATGGCAGCGGGCATGGCGCAGCACCTGGAAGGGCCACCAGGCACAGCATGTACGAGTGCCGTGAGATGGCCAATCAGGAAGACTCTGGAAGCTTGTACAGCGATCGCTCTCTGTCCCGCAGCATTTCCCTCCGCAAGGCCAAGAAGCCGCCGCTGCCCCCAGCTCGTACAGACTCTCTCAGACGCAAGTCTGGCCCAAAAAAGCCCCTTGGAGGCGTTAGTGCCATCAGCGGTGCTAACGAGCCAAACGGAGCCATGCTTAATGAGACTCTAATTGCCAGCTTGCAGCAAAGCCTACAGATGGGGCTGAGAGGAGGGAAAGGAAAAGGAGCTTCACCTTCTTCACCCTCTCACAGCCCAAGCAGCGACTATGATGACCCCTGGGTGCTACGGCCACGCAGTCAGAGTAGCGTCAGTGCAGGTAGTTCTGCAGCATCACTAGCAGCTAACGTCAACTGTGGCGGTGTGTCTAACGTATACTCGCTATGTCATGTGACGCCTGCTCACAGCGACACCAGCAGCTTGCGCTCGGACTATGCTGATTCCTGGGGCTACTATATGGACTACCCTCGTAACCACGGAGACCAGAGGGCACAGTCCCCTCCGGTCCATGCCACAGATAACATGTCGGCTTGTGCTCACCCAGGAGAGCTTCAGAATGGAGGTGAGATTCTCAACAACAGCCAGGCCCCTGGAGCTCCAGGCCAGGAGGAGGGGGTGGCAGTGAAGCCCAAAATGTCCACCTCCTCACCGGACAGGGTGCACAGGCTGACCTCACCATCCAGCGGATACTCCAGTCAGTCCAACACCCCCACAGCTGGAACGCCAGTGCCCTCATTCGTCAGGTCCATGTCACCCTCAGGCAGCCGGCCCAAGCCCAAAGTGCCTGAGAGAAAGTCCTCTCTCCTCTCCTCTGTATCCATGTCCTCCTCATCCACCTCCCTTTCCTCCAACACCTCAGACTCACTTAAAAGCTCCGGACCTCCTCCGCCACCACCTCCACCCTTGCCCCTCTCCTCCTCAGCTCCTACCACCCCTCTCAGCCCACCTCCACCCTTCCCTCCCCCTCTGCTGCCATGCTCCAGTGCAGGCACTCCTCCACCAGCTCCCCCGTTACCAACCACTCCACAGGGTCCAACTCTCCTCCCACCCCCTGCTTGCTCCACCTCCCCTGAATTCCCTCCTCCTCCATCCCCTGAAATGCTAATCCCCCCCAGTTCATCCTTCAATGGGAGCTTCAGTCCTCCCCCTCCACCTCCCCCTCCCGTCCCCTCTATGGGGCCCCCTCCACCTCCTCCACTGCCTGCTTTTGTCCCACCATCCTCCTCCCCATCTTTTGTGAAGCCAGTGAAAGATGCTCCTAAACCAGCTCTTCCCAACAGCCCCACAAAGTCACCTAAACCCCTCATCACCCCGTTTGCGCTGCAAAGTGTTCAGCTTCGCTCTGTTAAACGGCCAGAAAAGGAGATTAACGGCCAATCAGATGACACCAAAGCTCAGGACACAGGGGTAGACCTCATTCAGGGTCTGAAGCCCCAGAGCCTGGAGCATCCCACTGTGACGCACCTGTCAAACTGCTCCCCAGAAGAAGTTTCACGCAACTCCTCACCATCGCCTGTGTCAAAGCTCCTAGAAGAGTTGTCTTTCGACTGCAGTATCACAGATGACGCGCCAGATAGTGCTGTCATAAACGGGAAAGCCGAAGATCACTTTCTTTTAAATGGAAAGGAAATAGCTGAAGGGCAGGAATCATTCCTGAGTCCCCCACAGAGCTCCCACAGCTCTCCTGTCAAACAGAAGCCCCCCGCAGTCTCGAAGAAACCCCAAATCTCTTTTCTCCCACCATTTAGCCCTCAACCAGTCAATGAACAGGTTCCACCTCAGCAGGATGATACAACCAGCCTGTCACAAGCAGAGGATCAAGTAGATGCACCGCTAAAACAAGTGAAGAAAGAAGAGAAAGAGAGTAAAAGTGAGCAACAGGAGGAAGAGGAAGAGAGCTGTGAAACATCCACGGTGACCCAGGACGAGTCTGTCAGCCAGGAGACAAGTCCACACCATGGAGTGTGCACCAATGGAGAGGCTCATGACGAGGAAGATGAGGAGGGAGATGGAGCAAGTAGCACGACTGGATCCATCAGCTCCAAGGAGGAGGACAGTGGTGAGTCTGATTTTTATTTAATCATGTTTTTTAATCATCAAATAGAAGTTAGAAGACTAATTTGAGTTTACTGATTAGTGAAGCTCATTACCATCATCCTATATGGTTAATAGTGATGCTGCTGCCTGCTGGCTGTGCGTCCAGCTCCTCAGGCAGCCGTGAAATTCATTTTGCCCCGCGAAAGCAAAGGATCCAAACTTGAAACCGAAAGCTTTTAAAGGTTTGAAAACTGTGAAACTAGCACAGGATAGACAGCTTATCACTGGGACAGCACTGCTGCAGCCTCCTGAATTTCATCCTCTCTTTCTTTCTCTTCCACATTTCCAATGCAGAGATCTCTTGTGGCCACTGTCCCTTCGTTTTTCCCGCATTGCTCTTTTTCTCTCTGCCCCCCCCCCCCCCCCCCCCCCCCCCCCCCCCCCCCCCCCCCCCCCTCCCCCCCCCCCCCCCCCCCCCCCCCCAAAACTCTACACACCTCAGCCTCCACTGTCTACTCGACTTCTCTCTACCATCCATCCTTATTTCTAAATATCCATTTTTGCCTCTCTCTTCTTTCCTGTTAATCTCTCATCCTCTGTCTGTCCTACTCACCCCCTCCTTCTCTCCCTTTCTGTCCTGCTCCCTATCTATCTATCCCTTCTTCTCTCTGTGAGGTAAGGGAGGGGGCAAATGTCCCAGGGGAGATGCTTTTCGTGGTTGTAGGGAGAGGGGGGAGGGGCTCCATCGTATCGGAGGGGAGGGGAACAGATCTGGGGAGGATGGGGAGAGCGTAAAGTGAGACTGCCTGCAGCGGCTCAGGCAGTCGAAGCGCAGACGTGAGCACGGAGGTTGAGGGAAGGAGGAGGAGGAGAGAGGCTGAACTAGAGGAGAAGAAGAGAGAAGACATTCAGAGACAGAAAGAGAATGTAAGAAGACAGTCCGACACCTCCTCCGTACCACTTCAGATTTCATAGACAGCCAGATTAATGCGACGGGATGGTGGATTCATGAGCGTGTGCTGTGCTGAGTAAACCTCAAGTATGTGCATTAACTCTGTTGTAACCATGTGTATGTTTCTCAGGTGAGGTGTTCTACTCCAGTACGGCTGAATCGTCTCCGGCCCCGTCAGCCAACGGGGCCTCCGAGGAGAAAATGGTGACCCCAACTCCTTCGCGGCCCCGAACCACTGAGGACCTTTTTGCCGCCATTCACAGGTACAACAATGCATCTCTCTCTTCAACGCCTTCTGTCACTTCTTCATCTACTCCAACTTCTTCTCTCCTGACCTGCTTCTACTCCTGATATATAATTTATCCCACTCTGTTTTTGTTTGTTTCTACCTTCCCCCTCTTTCTGTCAGCATCTCATCCCCTCTCTCTCATCCCTTCATAAACCACATCACCCTGGTCTCCCTCTCCCCCATCAACCTATGATTTCTCTCTTTCCATTTCTATCCCCCTCCTCCTCCTCCTCCTCCTCTTCCTCTGCCCTCCACCTCTCAGTCATAACTTTACCCAGCGCCGTCCCATCTGCAAGTGTGCACATCTGTCAAATAGCAGGTCTCTGGAGTCTCTCAGCCCAGAGTGGCTTTCTCTGTTCCTGGTCACTGACTGATTCAAGAAGCAAAATGAGTCAGTAGTCACATGTTTGTCGAGGCATCTGTGCTAGTGAAGTCACATTAGCGTTGCTCATTCTCAGCAGGAGAAAAAAGGCGGCTGCTTCATCCATTATTTAACTACTCGACACCCTCGGGTCCTAATCTAGGTTAGAGGCCACCGGAGAGATTTGTCTTTCTTCCTCTCTCTGTTTCTATCTTCCCCTCTTTCTTGTACACACTCCGCTCTGACATAGATTGCATACGTGCTTCAAAGGCAGCACGCACATAAATTTCTCATGCAGCCCGCCAGTTTGTGTTTCACGGTCACGTGCGGCGGCAGTCGGAGTTCTCTTGAGCATCACAGGATTTCATTTCACGGGATTTTATTTCTGCCGGCGACAGATTGTCGATGTATTTATGGCGCACACGTCACGTGGGCAAGTGCGATTTATTGTGCAGTTTAATTGGATGTGAGGATTGTGTAAGCATGTATGCGCAAACCTCACACTGGAACTGTGTTTGTTTACCACTCGCTTTACTGCTCTGCTCCTCTGTTGCACCTCCTCAGTATGGAGCATATAGAAACGTTTTACAGATTTTTTTTTTGATAAGTGGGAAGTGATGACAGACTCCCGGCGGTGCTGTCAGAATGAGAGGAATCAACAGTCACGGGGAATAATGAATTCAGCTCACACAATCACATGAACAAATTATTAAGTTAAAGGTCCAGTGTGTAGGATTTAGGGAGACATACTGGTAGAAATGGAAATGTTTTCATTATTGTAATATCCTGAATCTAAGAATCGCATGTTTTCGTTAGAATTAGATGTTTATACCTACATAGGAAGTGGGTTCTCGTCTGTGGAGTCAGCCATGTTGCACCGCCATGTTTCTACAGTAGCCGAGAATTGACATTCAAACACTGGCTCTAGATGGGGCTATTTGTGCTTTCACGTCAGCCTCCGTGAAGAGCAGCTTTGGAAAAACTGATTTTTTTAAAAAAAAATTTACGCAAAACTGCTTTAGTCAGCGCTTTTACCAGTTTAAATCATCAGATTCGTTTGTTTGGAGAGGAGGAGACCTCTGTGGATAATTCATCTCCTGGTAAAACCCTCATAAACATCTGGATCTTACCACTAGATGCCACTAAATCCTACACACTGCTCCTTTAATATGCAAAAAAGTTTTACATCATATCTATCATTAAATTAAAATCAATTTGAGAAATTTTAAGATTATATTTTAAAGCATCGAGATAAATTTATATGTTGTACTTCGAAATGTACGCCTTAAAAATTATACATACCTCGTGTTCTTGATGGTGACTGTCTCATTGTCTAGCTAACTGTCCCTTCTTCACCCCTCTGATACATTTCCTTTCCCCTTCTCACCTGTCCAATAGCTTTGTTTTCCACTCTGTCATTTCAACTCCAAATTCACTGTCTTCTCGCCCTCTCTCACTGCAAAAGAAGTGATGAAAACCCTGAATGAAATGCCTTTACAGCCACAGCATAAAATACAACCTGTCTGGAGGGAGAACCTCCAAACCAAATGTAATACAGCCAAGAGAGAGAGAAAAAAAAAAAATATCGATCCTGTGCTCCAAGATGCCTCTTAAATTGCAGCCTTGTTTATGTCTATAAATGAGATTGGCTCTCCTGTGCGTCCGTATATTTGTGAATTTAACTAACCGTGAGTTCAGTGTGGAGCCGTCCTGGCTGACTGAGTTCAGGTGTGTGAGTGTACGCACGTGTGAATGTGTGTGAGGGAAGTGTTATGTAATGCTGATGGGCTAATGTGGCAAGGGAGCTCGCAGGGGGACGGCGCTAGATGGAGGTTGAATTTAGGGCACAGACACATATTTTGCAATCATTCTGAAACAGACAGCAGATTCCCTCCTTAACCATTCACACCCTCTAGCTCTCCTCTCATTTGACCTTCACAAGTATATTCTAGACAGGTTATTTTATCCATTTTGGAGGAATTTCTTTCTGTAGATCTAATCTGAGGATTAAGAATTTTGTCTCAGTGCGCCCTCCACTGCTGCCTTTAGCATCAAATGGCTCCCCCTTATCACACAATCTGTATTTCTCATGCCTTTAATCATCTGTCTCCCCTCTCCTCCTCTCTCCCTCCTTGTGCAGAGGAGGCACGCAGTGGGTGGGTGCATCCTTTCTAGAGAGGTGCGAAGTGGCAGGTAGCCCCTTCCCTGTAATTAGCAAGCCTTGTTGCTGCCATCACGGTGACGCTACCTTTGGATTAGCAACAGTAATCCCGCAGTGCAACCCCCCGGACCACAGATTAATAAGGCTGTTTCCCTGCTAGCCCTAATCCCCTGTATTCTGCCAGTTGCAGCTTTATTGCTATGCTTTGGTGCAGGAGTTATAGACAGTGTAGGCTGAGTGGCGCAGTCAACCACTCTAATACCCCCTGCTGAGCGGAGGCTGAATCGTCCTTGTGTGATTAAAACTGCTTTGGGCACTTTTCCCAGTTTGTGTTTTTGATTAATTTCATTGTGCCACGTCTGAGCTTTCCTGCAGAGTTGCAGCGTCTGCAGCTTTACTTGTAAAAACTCATTGGATTTCCTTAACGAAAATGTGTAACTCTCCTTCTAATTGCCTTCCTTTTCCTTTTTTTGAGCATCCATGCCACTCAGTGCTCCTCATTGTTTTACTTTTTTAAGATGCGTGCTGTGACGCTTGATTGCTGGGGGCAGTGCTGACATATGGCAAATTTGGGACAAAGATTTGAGGCGTGCAGGCCAAGTATTTTAAGTGCAGTCTTTTTTTTTTTCTTTTTTTTCCAGCTACAACAACATGGAAACGTTCACAGTGCTGGGTCGGGCAGTCGACCAAAGGCTGCTTCATGCTCAGTTATATGAAACCCCGCATGCTGCAGCCTCAATTTGAATAATTAGATTGGAGGATTGTTTCCTGACAAAACTGCCCCCATCTCTTGCATTTCTTCTTCTTGCTCTTCTAGCATTTAATTGCCTTTAAATTATTCCACTTTTTACAAATTCATTAATCCTGCTTGCTTTCATTGACTCTGCAGAATAACCACGAGCATGTCATTAATCCAGTTATCGACATCCTTTCCTAGGTCAAAGCGCAAGGTCCTGGGTCGCAAGGAGTCTGAGGAGGACAAGTCCCGGGCTACGAGCCAAACACACTCTCCGCCCGTCACCCCCACAGGTGGTTCCCCAGGAACGGTGTCCTCCTTGCCCCGCCAGGCAGGCTCCATCCAGCGCAACCTCCGCAAGTCCTCCACCAGCAGCGACACCTTCAAGGCCCTTCTCCTGAAGAAGGGCAGCCGCTCAGAGACCAGCTTCAGGATGTCGGCCACTGAGATGCTTCGCTCCACGGACCCTCGCTTCCAGAGAACGCACTCCGAGTCGGCATTGGACTCCCCTGCTGCTTCACCCTCCTCACTGTCGGTGCCACACAGCCCCTGCACCTCCCCCGGCCGTGGTAAGAGGGCAACAGATGAGTGGAGCCGCTACGAGGCCTTGGCTCTGTCCTCGCCGACTTCATCCTCCTTTTCAATGAGCGGGTTTAAGTACGGGCGCTCACGTACACCACCATCTGCTGCCAGCAGCAAGTACAACGCACGCAGCCGAATCCTCAGCAGCCCAATGACTGTAATCTGTGAGCGTGAGGGGGAGCTGGCTGAGAGCGAGTACGGGGACACTGCAGAGAGTCCGACCGGACCCACGGCTCAGACTCTTCCTGTACTCAATAACTCCAATGGCACTTTATCTGAAGAGAGCAGAAGTTAAACAGCAACGACCGCCCCTTAGATACAGGGAGCTGAACTCACTCGTCATAACCAGGTAGGGGGCAGGAAGAAGAGCCGATAGAGACACCTTCCTGAGCCCCACCCCCTCGGTGCTGCCTCTGAGGGAGTGGACATGTCGGGTCCTGTTGTGAGGTCAGAGGTCGCCCTGTCATGGACCGGGCTGGACTTAGTCTGAAGTGGAGAACTGGTTCTGCTGCAGCTTTTCATGATTTTCACTCTGTCCTTCGTTTGGTGACTCACCCTTTGTGTTGAAAGAATAGCGTTTCTTTTTACGCCCGGTGTTCTTAGTTTGTTTTCCATTTGTTTTGCTGTTTTCTTTTATCGTCCTTAACACGCTGGAATCTTCTAGTTTCTTTGAAGGACAACGTTCAGGTGGAAAACTAAAGGTGAATTGAAGGATTTGAAAAGTCACAAGTTGTAACTTTGCTGCTGTGGTGCTACGTAGCTAGGCAGTTGAAAAGAGTGGAATGTAGAGGCGTGCTGGCCGGACGGACTCTCGCCTTGTGAATCTTCTCGGCTTCTCTTCTGTTGGCTCTGGAAAGTGTTCGAGAGCACCACGGTTTGCAAGCGTCGGCTTCAAACAGCCCGTATCATCGTGGAAAGAACCCGAGGAAGACGTGGTACAACAGACAGCTCCACGGTACAACTTCAGCTACGGTTACCGCCAGGTTTTGCTTTCTGCCCTTTGGTCAGAGGTTTAGTTTGCAGAGCTGGTATGTTCAGTGGTCCACAGGAAGTGCAGAGGGTTCAGTGCTGTCACCTAGTGACGGGCAGGAAATAAACAACTGAGTGTAAAAAGACTCAACCAAAACAGCAAATTTACTCTATAAAAAAGCTCATAAAACCTTTATTAATTGAATTTTTGTTTGTAGATTTTGCACTGTGCATAGGTCTTTTTCTTTGTTTGTGACTTAAAAACTATGTTTTAAAGATTGTTTTAATAAACAGGTGATGTCATGACTTGTGTTTGCGAGTTAAGTATGAATCTATAAATGTAAAGACAGAAAGAATAAGAGCTTATTTACAGTCCGGGTCTACTAGCGAACATGTTGGTTACCAAAGAGCTTGAACATTAACTGCTGGCCGTTAATCTGGAAGTGAACACAATCTGAGAGTGTCTGACACACACAGTCGTCGCTAAGTTTGCCGAGACCTGCTAGAAGCTTTTAGGGCTTAAATGATTTCTATAATGCCGTTGACCTTTCTGCTAAGTTTATCATTTTGCAGTTTTATATGATTCTGTATGTAAATACATAGAGAAAAAGGAGTTTTAATTAACATTTGGACTTATTTTCAGACTGTACATGTGTAGAGCCCTGTGTTTGCTGGAAGGGAGTGGTTTCCTTTTTTGTAGATTATTTATTTTCACATAGCAGGGCTGCAAAAGGTGTCACGATCGGAGTCAACCAGTGAGGTGATGGAGGCACGGGGAAGGGTTAGGAGGGCCACATTTACTGAGCTGACCCCACCAGGCTATCTCTTTCTTTTTTAAAAGGTGCTTCAGAGTAACAGAAATGCAATAATGTCAATATTTATGCTAAAGCCTTCTACTGCCCTTAATCTCGAGTCATGCAAAGCGCACGCTGGTGCTCGCAGCTGAGTAAATGTGGTCTCTTAAGAGTCATAAACTGGGGCGACAGGCGTGAGACTTGATAACCTCCTAACAGCCATAACACCCTGTGGTTTAATCACCTGTGACCAAAGTGTGTCTCCCAGCTCCCGCCTGGCCATGATCGAGCACTTGGGGCCCGGGCTTGTGTCATGACAGGAAAACGTCTCAATCGCAGAGAGCGTGTGAAAAGACGGGGGAGGACAGAAGACGTAGTGGGAGTGGAGCTGCTAACGCTCTTGTGTATGTCTGTGTAATAAAAACAAGGTGATATTTAAAGAGTGGGTTTCTGTGTCATCTCTGTGTGTGTGCGTGAGTGATTCACGGCCATTTGCCAACCCAGCACCCCAAATCACAGCCTCATTAGTGCCGTCGCCATGGCACCCACACTCGTCTGTCATCTGGAAAGCTCCAGAGGCCATCGTTTACCCCTCCCTCCACCCGCGGGGTCATCAGTTATGTCTCCTTCTGGACATCCTATTAGGACACACACTGAATCACAGGCTCAGCCCACAATAGACCTCTCCACTGTTGAACCACCTCGACTGTCTGACTTACACTTCGTAACCCACCACTGAAACCTCTCAACATTACCCGCACCTCCTCGCTGCCTCTTCAACGCCTCGGCACGTTGAGTGCTCGTCCCCAAGGGTACAGAAACACTCAGTATTTACAATATGTTCCTTCCACCAACACTTCAGCAGAGTCACCTGCTCCGTGACGCTGTGTCCATCTGGCTGTCAGACAGGGATCAATACAAGCTCCTCCCTGCCATAATCACACTATTGACACCTCAATGCTTCCCTTCTCCTCTCATATCCAAGACCCTCCGTGCAGTAGGATGTGACCATTGAGACAGAACGACTGAACACAGTGAAAAGTCCAGGGGTAGTTATCACCTGTGCTTTTGGTGTTCACAAATCTTCTGCTGCAATTACTCAGCCATAAAAGGAATACTTCACCACCAAAATGACAATTTGTATATAAATTGTGGTAATCAGTTACATTTAATTTGTTAAAAAATGTTTCTCACATATCTTGACAGTAAATGGAGACTCTAAAAGCTGAAGAAAGTCTTCCATGACCTCATTTAAACAGCAAAACTCGATCAAAACATCAGTCCTCAAACTCCTGAACTGAACTGAAATTGACACCTACTGTATCTATACTCTCTTCAAAGCCAGACTCCATTGACAAAGACAATTAATTTACTAGGGATGCATGATAACATAAGAACGTCATCTGTATCGGCTGATGTTGGCTTTAAAATTAATTTATACATTTAAACCTTTAAGACTTAGGGAATCAATTGAGAGAGACCCCCATTTTCAGTGATGCCGGGCATGTAAGCAAACATAGAACCATCATGCATATCAATTAAAACAGAAATTAAACCAAACCATACAAAACAACAATTAGCTACATGATCACTAAAAGTAGAAAGCATTTACACTCAAAACAAGATCTGAAATAAGGCATTTAAACAGCCATAAGGGTGGCAGAGTGTCCAAGGTTAAGGTCTTTTGTAGATTATTCTGTGTATAAAGGTGCACTGTAAGAAAATGATATGTGAGCTATCCTGTGAGCAAGTACCGAGGTTATGTGAGGTCAGAGTTAAAAGGGATTAAATACAGGGTGGAAGCATCTGTATCAAAGCTTTATAAAATGAACACAGCCTGGTTGCTCTGTATAATCAAGTGCAGATCAAAACCTTGTGCTCACAGAGAACAGGTAACAGGATACACAGGAAAGCACTCCAAAAATACAGAAAACCAGGAAGGAAGTACAAAAAAGCCTTTACCATAGTGGCTAAATCACTAAAGGAGCCAACATGTTTCGACCGCTGCAGGTCTACAACAGTGCCTTAAAAACGACTTTATACATCTGTTTTACAAAGTTCTTAAACCACCAATTTTTCAAATTTTGAAAGGAAACATTCTGCCTAAACGCTTATAAATCAGACAATGAAATAATAGTACTACACAAAGCAAACACAAAAACATGGTCTTAAACCAGGGTGTTACATAAGTAAGTCTACATAAATGAAAATATATATATAAAAAAATAAAGATAATCTGGGTTACAAGCAAGATAAAGAGGTATATTCAGTCAGAGGTTGCCTAATCTTCCATAACATATGGATCAGTATCACTTATCGGCCAAATGAGTTGTTATATATCTGCATATCAGATATCAGCAAAAATCCAACATCCTGCATCCCTAAATTTTGCCTTGCTGAACATGAGAGCTGCTGGTCTACCGCTGCATCGATTGTTATTACACAGTTTTCAGCACTGCACTGCAAGCCAGGCGGCCCGCCTGCTCTAGGCACTGAGGAATTTTTTTTTAATGTATTATTAAGATGTTTTTAAACTACAGCAGCCTGGAGATTAACAGAAAAACACCCTGCTAATGTTACAGTGAACAGAACTGAAAATGAAACTGACTGTACACACACACAGCACATCACATTTTGTCCTTGGCAACATGCTGCTCCTCTCAATGACAGCTGCATCTTGTCCAGTAGACACACAGGCTAGCAGGGCTGTTTGTAGCTTTATGGGGGCCCTAAGAAAAATGTTGCTGCTTACTTATATTGTTCTGTGTTTAGAGTTTACTCATACAGATCGGTTTCTTTTTACCAATACGTACTTATTATGTTGCTTTGTTGCTTCCTGTTTGCACTCTCACTTTACTGCTGTAATGCTGCAACTTTCCCCACTGTGGGACGAATAAAGGATTATCTTATCTCTCACAAAAGAACTTATTTTAATTCAACTTAGCTGCATTGTTAACATCTACATTTAAAACAAAATCAGTTAGGTAAAATTACTGTTTTTGGCAGTGGAGTCTGGCTTTGAAGAGAGCATAGATAAGTTTCACTTTCAGTTCAATTCCCTGTTGGAAAGGGCTGTCTGTTTGAGAAGTACTGAGCGACTGGATGAATGAGACTTGGATTATACTGCGCAAGTTGTGTGAGAGTTTGTGAACAATTGTTTTGATATAGTTTTGCTGTAAACAAACCCCCATGACTTCAATTCATCAAAAAATTCCTCTACTTTTGGACTCTTCATTCACTGGAGGCATGTGAGAAAAACAAAGCTTTCTTCACTCATCCAGCGTAACACTGGATGAGTGAATTAACATGACTCATCATAACCCATTTCTGAGGCATCTTATACTCATTTCCTTCGTTTATGCCAGAGACTCAACACTGACTAAATATGTATTTTTGTCACAAGACATATTTAGTCACATTTGTTTTGTCAAACTTAAATCTTATCTTTGCACGACAAAGCAGTTATAAAAAGGGGGTTAGCTGATGTGAGATGTGGCATTCAGGTATCAGCTCTTCACTACTTTATGACACTTCAAAGACGAATCAATCCATTGATAATGAAAATAGGCATTAGCTTCAGCCCTAACCTTAACAGTGCGCTAAATAAATGGATGTCAATGGCAGCCTGGAGGGAATATAAAAACATTCATTCCTTGTACGTAACTGCTTATCCTGTTGGGGTCTCAGGGGTACTGGAGCCTATCCCAGCTGACAATGGGCGAGAGGTGGGTACAGCCTGGACAGGTCACCAGACTATCACAGGGTTGACACATAGAGACAGACAACCATTCACACTCACATTCACACCTACAGACAATTTAGAGTCACCAGTTAACCTGCATGTCTTTGGACTGTGGGAGGAAGCTGGAGTACCTGGAGAAAACCCACGCTGACACAGGGAGAACATGCAAACTCTGCACAGATGAGCAGATGAGTCTTAAAAAAATCAAATAAAAATATTGAACAATCATACGACTTGTTAAAACTGCCACAAACTGACTGAACCAGTCCAGCTCATGTGTCAGCAGAAATACTTTGGAAGTATTTTCACATGTATCCTGACTCAAGGTCTCCAAATCTCTCTATCCGGCTGGAGGGGGAAATAAAATTAAAATACATGACTGGAATAAAACAGTGAGCCTCATTATAGGTTTCCTATCCACTGCCATGTGTCACCTCACTGAGCACGGCCGATGAGATCGATCTGACTGGTGAACAACAGATGAAGTGTGTGTGTGTTCAGAGGATAAAAAAAGAAGTTGTTTCTGCTGAGCGTCTGAACATGATATTGGGAACAATTCTGCCACAAATAAAAAGAATGACTCAGCAGACGTGAACCTGACGGCGGGAGAGGGAGAGAGAGAGAGTGAGAGGACAAGGTGAGAGTGGATAAAGGGCGAAGTGAACTGTGGCGAGGATTTCACCCAGCGGATAAAAAGGTCACGGTGATCAGAGTGTGGAGGACGGACTGAACTGTATCCACTACAGATCAGATAAACAGCTCACGCTGAGGCGCTCTGCTGTTTGTGATCCACACCACATGAAGGAATCCTGTTAGGAAATAAAGATGACTGAAACATAATTTTATAATTTTGTAATAAATTAATGTGTATTTATTATTGATGAGATAATAAATGTTACATTCTTAAACATCATTTGGAGGGAAGTAATATCTCCCATGATTCATACATCAGTGCAGTGCTTATGTCATCATTCCCTCATTAAGTACCATTAAAAACACACGACGTCTATCATGAGCTCTGAATGTAAACATGATATATGATAATATGGTTTAATGTGTAAAAGGACGTTAACTCAGATTTAAAAAGGCACAGTGTTAATGTTAGCTTATAAGTGTCACTCTTTGTTAATATCTAACATCCACCAACAGAGGTGGGGCCAAGTCATAAGTAAGTCTCAAGTCCTAAACTTTGACTTTGGGAGTCCTAAATGAGTCATAACATGCTCTTCACCAAATGTAATGCCATTTTAACAACAGAGTACTTGTTAAAATTACTTTATTATAAGTTGTTGTGTCTCCGCCTGTTATAACCTGCACATTTTACATGCTGCAATTCTTTATGTTGACCACAGCATAGTTTCTGTACACGAACAAAATCATCTTTCTTATCACATTTTTCAAATGGCGCTCAGTAACGTAACGTGCTTCATGGTTCTCTCCTGCAACTTGATCGGATGCTGTCGGATTGCTTCAAACAAAGTGAATCTGGAGAATTTAGAGTCATCTTGGTGGGGATGAATTGTGTTGATGCAAGTTGATTCGGGACATGAATCATTGTATGGCACACTTTAATCTTTGGGCTTAGAGGAATGTGTCAGGTATTTTCAAGTCAAATGGCTCAAGTCTAAATGAAGCCCCGAGTTACTGGTGTTACAGTCCAAGTCGAGGTACAAGTCTTTGTGGTTTTGTCAAGTCTCATGTCGTCAAATTTCTGACTTGGGTGACACTTAATCTGGATAGTCCACCTACAGATAGTTTATAGAGTTTATTTAGAGAATTCAACAGCTTATTTTATGAGATTCAACAATTCAGTTGTTTCACTTTCTACTGTAGATGTTGAACAAATTATCTGTACAGTAAATGGAGACAATTCACCAACTGTTCTTATATTAATTCAGTTGAATTTGATCTATTTGGTTGAGTAATCAAGTTCCACTAGATCAGTGGTTCCCAACTGGTGGGTCACAGTCCAAAGGTGGGTCACGTGTCCATTCTGAATGGACCGCAAGTGGCTTGCAAACATGTCAAGTTTGTAAAAAACACACTTTATTTTGAAGTACAGTGAATTTCCAGCACAGAGCTTTTATTTTATAGTGCTGTTTCCTGCTGTGGAGTGAGTGACTAATGGAAATCTACTGAACAGAGACAGTAAACTAGCTCGAAGACATGGCCAAATCAAGTAGTTGGGAACCACTGATCTAGATTACGCTGGAATATGTAGTCAATTATCTAACATATTCTACAATCAAACATCTAGAGACTACAGCTGCAATGACTATTCCATCAGTTGTCACCTGTTAAATAAATCGCCAACTAATTTAGTAATCAACAATCAGTTTGAGTGATTATTTAGAAAAAGAAAAATCTGATTCCAGCTTCTTAAATGTGAATATTTCCTGTTGCTTTCTATGTTTCATCACTCCTCTATGACAGTAAACTGAATGTCTTTGGGTTGTGGACAAAACAAAACATTTGAGGACTTAGGGAAACATTGATCGCATCATTCAAGATTCTCTTGACATTTTATAGATCAAACAACTAGTGTATTAATTGAAAAAATAATCGTCAGATTAACTGACAATGAAAATAACTGTTGGTTGCCACCCTACTACACACAAAGTGAAAGAGCTAAATTGCTGAATTTCAATTAATAAACTAAGGAAATGTGACAAATACTCAATAAACTATCCCAACTATCCAAAGAAAGTGTCACTGAGACCAGTGTCCAAGTCATATGACTCTAGTCCACGTCTGAGCTGCCTGTGTGATGTTAGGCAAACTACACACTCCAGGGGAAAGGTTTTTTGTTGAGACTGCAGTAACGCAGGTATGACTGGTCCAGATTTACAATGACTCAGTTGCTCATCGTATCAAGTGCGATAGTGGTGACAGGAAGTGAGGTCTGAGATCAGATAAGGGGGCTCCACCAACATTTTGTCAGGCAGGCCGTCAGAGTCACCTTCACAGCAGCAACACTGACTGACAGGAGGAAGAACCTGCTGTCAGTGTTTGCATGTGACCTACAGAGTTAACGGACAGGTTCGTTTTTTGCCTTCAAGTTTATCTCAACACCATCTGTACACTGAAAGCGTGATCGGTCGCTGTAATGATTCCTCCTGTCCAAAGGAGATCTCAATGTCAGTGACGCGGGACAAAGTCTACAGTCTGAGTCCGACATGTAAAGTGAATGTCCATATTAAAATGAGTCCTTTTGTAAAATAAAAGCCCCTCTGTCTTGAACAATGTTTCCTTGCTGAGCTGCACTAACAAAAAGAGAGCATGTTTTACTTTTCTAAAAAAATGTGATCTTGAAGACACAAATAATTAAAAGGAAAATGTTGGTATTTTTCAACCTTTACCCTATCTTGGGTCTGAGTAACCAATGGGAACAACCACTTTTAAAAAGGGGGCCAGTATTGAGTGAGAGCGCTGCAGCCGGCAGCTGCGAAACAGGCTACGATGTAACCCCTCGGGGAATGTTCACACCTGTATGTCCACTACAAGTGCTTTTTTTTGCTACTGACAGGCTCACATTGTTATTATAAATGTCTGACAACATTATGGAAAGGATCCCTACAGAGACAGACGTTAGGCCTGTACTTCAAAGCAGGATTTGAAGTTAGGGAGGTAACTTCAGGGTTAACTCTGGGTTTGCAGTCCTATGAAGCTGGTTCCCTTTTTACCAGAATAAATCACCGTGGTAACTTATGCTTAACAGCTAACCTGCTCCGGAGTATTGGATCACAGGCTACCAACACCCCGACCTCAGATCACTGAAGAAAAAAGTATCCATGGACCAAAGTCCAGAGTCTCAGGTAAAAAAATGAATATCCCATTTATTGCTATATACCTACATGATGAGAACTAGGACAAAACAATAATCCACACACTGTTAACTGGCTCCTGTTATTATAAATGCCACATTTGGGTCAGATACACTTCATCAGTCATTAACTTTAGGCTACTTTTCCACCCTTTATTTCAGTAGCAGAAACAGTCTGACATTATGTTTAAGTGTTTTATGTGACATATTCAGAGTAGATTCATCATCATCCAACTACATAGCAAAAAATGCCCTGTACTAATGTCACATAGGCCCACAGCACCTGCGCGTAATTTAAGTCTCGGGCAACGGTGAATTTTTTAGATAGTATTTTCAATATTTTTACATTTTATGTCATAAGATTACAGAAAATCATTTACATCCCACATAACTGACATTTTACTGTCTCATAGTCGCAGACACTTTTGGTACCGTTTCATCTCAGCCTACTTCATTCATTCTGATGATGTCGTTCATAATTACCACCCCCACCTCTTTCACATGAACATTCTCATAGCTGGATAGGAAAACCCAGAGTTGAGTGAACTAGCTGATAACCAGCTTTGTAGTACCGGTTATCCAGACAGCTAATGTGACAGGTTAGTCAAACCAGATAACGAAAAGATATCCTGGGTAAGTTGAACTGGCTTCGAAGTACAAGGGGTAAGATCTGTTTTGTTTCACCAGAAACGGCCCCGAAATCGCCGTCGCCACAGCCACCAGACTCCATTTAAATAAAGGTTAACTTTAGCGTGTATAGAGGCAGCACATTTGTCGTCTAAGTGGAAGCATTAAGGGTTTATTTCAACCAGATGGTGATTGTTGGAACAGCGATAAAATGACTGTTTATTTAAAATGGAGCCTCGTGGGTTTGGCGATTCTGGGTCAGTTTCTGGTAAAACAAAATGATCTTACTCTTCAGCAAAAAGGTCCATCTCCATAATGTTGTCAGACACTTAGAATAACAATCTGAGCCTGTCAGTGGCAAAAACAAGCACTTATAATGGACGTACAGTGAGTGGTTATATTGCTGCAGCCCTCTCGCTCAGTCCTGGACCAGTTTCAAAAACTGCTGTCCCCATTAGTCATTTCGACACAAAGGCATAAGAAAATAGGGTCCAGGTTGAAAAAGACACAGAAATTACCCTTCAAGAGCAACTGCATGAAAAGCAACAGCAAATTAGTGCATTTAAAAAATCAGTCATGAAAACATAAAGAGGCACTTGTGGTTTCTGTCATGACAGGATGCACCAAATGAGAGATATGTTTCTTAACTACTTGGCTCCACCTGCTGGACATACTGGTCCACTGTATCCAGTTTTCCCTTAAGGTTTATTTGTTTATAATGACCTCTTAGAGCTCTTCTTGTCATTTGTTTGGTCAAGACTTTCAGTGAGTTTAAATCAGTAACTTTCAGTCAAAGTAAACACACAGTCAAACATGTGGAAAAATGTCAGTGTGACCTTTAAAAACTTCCATTTTGTTTATCACGTTTCTACAAAAGCAATTATTTATATTCCTTTTAGACATTAAGAAGTGCTGTGCTAAGTGTTATCAAATGATGATGTAGATTTCTTTCTTTCACCATGTGCCTATCTGACAGAGTGCAAAGAGTGTTGCGTGACTCTTCCTACTCTGGTGTCTTTTTCAGGACCCAGACCTCGTTCCTTCGGTTGGTGAGTTTGAAGGGACTGTCGTACCCGGCTGCGTAGAACGGCTTGTCGACGTATTGGAGACCGTCCCTCTGCAGGCTCTCGATGAGTTTCAGGAGCTCTTCGCGCTTCATTTTCTCGTTGGCGAACCCACCTAACGTCCTGAAAGAAAGACAAAGAAGAATCTCAGTTTAAGTTCTGCATATCTGGGATTTAAAGTCATTTATCAGCTTTCTTCTAACTATTCTTTTGATTGTTATGGTGTGTGCAAACAGTCGGACATGTACAGTAATAAAAGGACCAAGTTGCATTTTGACACTTTTACATAATGTCACCTTAAAGTGGCAATTAAATATATTATCAAAGGATGCCTCGGTTGAACTCTACCTGACATAAGCTGTGAACTCTTTCCTGTGCTCCACAAACACATCTGGGTCGCTCGGCTCCGGTGGACTCTCCTGATGCTCCTCTGGGATGTAGAAAGACACAGTGAACTGAGATTCACACGTGGGGCCGGCTCCAGGGTCCACGCGGCACGTCACAGGGGCCGTCATCTCCACTTTCACCTCTGAGGATCAAGGAAATAAATACTTAAGTTCAAAGGAACAGTGTGTGGGATTAAGTGGCGTCTAGCAGTGAGTACTGCAGATTGCAACCAGCTGAAACTTCTCCTGTGTGCCGAGCGCAAACTCCTGGTTAGAATTCCTTCAGTGTTCATTGTACAGGAGGTTTATACCAGGAGCCGAACTATCTGCAAAGGTCTCTTCCTCTTCAAAATGAATGGAGCAGGTGATTTTAACCAGTAAAAAGACTGAATAAAGTAGTTTCAAATCAGTGTTTCTCTGTTGCCATTTGGCTCCAAGGCCCCGCTCTGAGCTACTGTAGAAACATGCCGATGTAACATGTCAGATTCTGTAGACATAAACGGCTCATTTTATGGTGACGGAAACACGAAAACTCTCACCAGTGGTTATCCATGACCAAAACATACATACCAACCATAAACTAACATGGAGTGGTCAGCACTAGGGTCCAACAGCGCCTACACTCCCTCCACAGGCTGAGGGTCTTTGGAGTCAACCACAAAGTGTTGCTCCTCTCCTATCATGCCATAGTTGCGAGCATCCTGCAGTGTGGCATCTCAGCCTGACTTGGCAACTTCAGTGTACAACTGAAGGCCCAGATCGCCAAGCTGATGCAGAGAGCCATGAAAATCATGGGAGTCAGGCAGCACGCCACACTCCAGTCTCTCTTTGAGCAAACCATTATCAGACAGGGCCAGAAGATTATCTCAGACCCCACCCATGTCCTCCATCATGAGTACCAACTTCTCCCCCGGTGCAGGCTTAACCACTTTAACAACTCTTTTGTCCCCTTGTCCATTAAAGTCTTAAAGCTGCAGCTTGTTGGTTGACGGCAGCGTGTACATGCACAGTAGGTACTAAGTGTGTGGATATCTTTGAACGACAGGTACCGCATGTATCCTAGACAAATTTCCCTCGGGATAATAGAGTCTGTCTTATCTTACTTCTTATGTGATAGTCTATTTCTGCCAACACATCCCAGCTCAACATACAGTGGAATGCTAATGTCGTAATGTCATCCAGAGATTCTGAGGGTGTGTTTTGCATTTAACCCAAACAGTATTGCGAGTTGCTCCACGTTCCCAGACAAGGTTATTCTGTCTCAATCTCCGTCTCAAAAGTCCGCCCATCCCCTCAGATAAAGAGTCTGGGTGTCATCCTGGACTGTACGTTGTCATTTGAGGCCCACATCAATAATGTTACTCGGTCTGCATACTGTCATCTACGGAATATTAATCATCTCGCCCGTCACCTACACCTCAGAGTGCTGCTATCCTCGTCCATTCTTTGGCTACATCTTGTATTGATTAATGAAATTCTGTCCTCTTTGGTCTCCCTCTCAAGTGTCTCCATAAACTCCAGTTGGTCCTGTATCATTACTAGAACCCCCTTCATAGATCATATCACTCTGGTTCTCCAGCAGCTTCACTGGCTTCCTGTTAAATATCGCATCGACTTCAAGATTCTGCTCTTCACCTTTAAGGCCCTTCAAAATCAAGCTCCTTTCTACCTGTCTAAACTCCTTCATATCTACACACCCTCCCCCGAACTGTTAGATCCTCTTCTGCAATAGGGCTGCCACGATTAGTCGACTAATCGATGACTAATCAACTATTAAAATAATCGGTGACTATTTTAGTAGTCGACTAATCGGTTTGAGTCTTTTTTCATAGAAAAGTACTATAAAAGTACCCCAAAATACTCTTATTGCAGCTTCTTACGTTTAGATATTGGCAGCTTTACACACTCTCCCATGACGGTGAACTAAAACCCTTTGGCGTGAGTACGAAACAATCAGAAGTCCAAACAAACACGCTCAACCCTCAGAAGTATGAATGGGTGCTGAATCCTCAAAAAATGGTAAAAAAAAAATTGTGTACAAAAGGTACAGGACAGCACTCCAATTATAGTGTTTATTGCCACACGAACATTTCGGGTGAAACGCTTCCTCAGCGTGCACAAGCAACAAAGTGAATGGATCACACACACAGGTGTCATCAGTAATCAGGCTGACACAGCAGCTGCAGGTAATAATGGTAAGAGAAGAAAAAAGAAAAAAGGAACCTAACAATGTATCCCTTCTTATATCAACACGAACAATTAAGTAACCACAATAGTGATTTTTTTTAAAACAGTTATTCAACAATGAAATGCATATCAATTTCTAAGAATTCCAAGCTTTTAACATTTTTAAGGTTTTTAAAGTTTTTTAACAAAAAATGAACAGGCAAATGTCTAATTGTTTTAATACAGTTTTCTTGTTAACCTGTAGGCCGGTTAGTCAAGAACATTTTTACAAAAAACATTTTTACAAAAAACAAGTAAGCACCAACTCCTCATTCAGTCCCTTTGGCTCTAGTGTGTCAAGGAAATGAATCCAGAAACATTCCTTTTGCAAAAGAATTTTATCCCGATCTCCACCTCTAGGTGGAATCTTAACTGCCTCAATGCCCATATATCTGAGATCTGCTGTGGTGTGGTAGTAGCTGTTAAAATGTCTGGCTACTGCCGATTTAGAATCATGATTGCGGATGGAACATTTATGTTCACAGATTCTAGTTTTTAGTTCCCGTTTTGTTTTACCAACATAGTACAGATTGCAAGGACACTTCAATAAATATACAACAAATTTAGTGTTGCATGTTATTCTACCTTTGACTTTCACAATCTTACCAGTTTTAGGATGTGAGAAATAATTTTCTCTGATCAGATTTGGGCATTGAACACAACTGAAACAAGGAAAATTGCCATTCGGCACACTGGACAAAAAATGAGGAGAAAAACTTTCTCCTCATTTTTTGTCCAGTGTGCCGAAGAGAAAAACTTTCTGCAGCTGCTGTGTCAGCCTGATTACTGATAAGTGACACCTGTGTGTGTGATCCATTCACTTTGTTGCTTGTGCACGCTGAGGAAGGGTTTCACCCGAAACGTTTGTGAGTACGAAACAAGACATTAGATGACATCATTTCCGGGTTTGGGAGAGACAGACTGACATTTTTCAACATTTTAACACATTTTTCGATAAAATGATTAGTCGACTAATCGAAGAAATAATCAACAGATTAGTCAACAATGAAAATAATCATTAGTGGCAGCCCTATTCTGCAATCAAACTCCCATCACCTGCCCGCTTGATTACCATGGGTTCTAAAGCCCTCGCTCTCAATCCCCTCGACTGTCTCTAACAAAATGCACATATCTAAAAGACACCCTCGTCTGTTGAGCCTGGAGCATAGGGCAGACTCCTTTCCCTTTAACCGTGGGAGCCATGGCAACGGAGCCAGTTTGGCACCCTTATCTGGGTGGCTGTACTCCCTCCGCCACAACTGGGAGACAAAAGATAGAGTGCGTTCATGACAAAGGTCAAGCAGCCTGACCTCTATGCCTCTTTTACTATCATCCATTTCCTTTACTGACTGAGGTTAAAGGCTGTAACACAACATAATTCTTCCACAGGCAGAACACTTGAAAAAAGTGAAATAAAATGTATCATGTAAGAATGATGTCTGACCGAGTAATCAGCTTTTGTAAGATACACAGATATTAAACTCTCTAAACAAACTCTCCAGCTGGTGGATCAGAGCCTCCCTCCGTAACGCCACCTGAACAGATGGCGGACATATACGCACAATATGTGGCAGATGTAGGAGATTAAACAGCAGGTTTACACATCACACTCTCCTCACACTGCAGACCTCAGTAGTCAACGGCACAAACAATATATATTCTCATAAATAATGCTGCTGTGAACTGCTGAGTAAGACAAAAGGCAGCGCCGCTGTAACAAAGTGCTGAGCAAGAACTAAAGTGCACTTTTTCATCCACGCTTGCATTTATGCATCCGCTCCCTTGTCTTCACGCCAACGTTATCCATAACTTTATTCTGCAGCATTTGAACATTATTAAGTTGAGTGATTGTGTTTAATCAAGTTTAATTTTGGTTTGTTAAGTTCATGGCTTTATTACAACACAAAGTAAAAGCCTCGCAACACAACACCTCTCTTGACAAACATAATATTAAGACCTTTATAACTTAAGTTACATCAGACCTGCTTTTGCTTTTTACCTTTCAAACATCAATGTGGCATTTTAAGATTGGTAGAAAACGATTTCCGCACACTTACATGTCTGCAGTGTTTCACTTTATTTCTGAGCTTCCGCCGTTGACCTTCATCAGAGCATACATGAGGCAACAATGGACAATCTCAGTCTAATCACTGGCTGTATGCAATACACCTGTGTGCAATCCTAGTGCCTTCTGGGAGTTGTAGTTTTTTTTTTACTGGTTGGCAAAGTGAAAGGCATACAAATGGAAGCCATATCTGTCTTGTCATACAGCACCACAATATAAAACAAGGGTGGTACACAGTGAAGATGAACAATTCCCATCTTTTAAAGGAGGAGAACAAAATGGATGACACTCACTGTTGTGATTGTTGCCTTGAATGTAGCTGAAGAGCCTGCGGAAGCCAGCGTTCATGGCTGCATCCAATTGCATCCCACTCAGAGTGGTGCTCATCCATTTGGTGGCGTGGTAGGTACGAATCTCATAGTCTTCTCCCTGCAAAACACACACATATATGCACATACTTACTATAAATAAATCAATCTGTTGATCATTTTTTTAAGAATAATCTCTGAATCATTTAATTCAGTGGTTCTCAATTATTGTAGCAACACACTGGTGTGCCGTGATGCCAATCCAGGTGTGCTGTGGGATTTTGTGATAACCACACATTATTACTGCGATATTCAACTGGACCTGCACAATCAGTTATGAATGAATTTTTAATTGTCTATATCAGTATGTTGTGTGCACCTGTTTCTTAATAAAGAGGCAAACTCAAAACTGTAATTGTGCGTGACACATCAGAAGCCCTGATTGGCAGCCAGTGTGAGGGATGATAACATTTAAAAGGAGAAAGCCATGAGTGGGACCATGGATCACTTTAAGAGACGGAGCAAATTACAACAAAGCACCAGTGAAGACGACCTACCACCAAAAGAAAAGAGAAAAAAAAAATGTCCGTAGACAGTATCATGAAAGCTACCTGTCTTACTTTTATTGTCTTATGTCGTGATAAGAGTGATAACACGTTATAGAACCTGTTGTACACAGATATAAATACAGGTGTGTTCAAATGTTCATGTTGCACCATATCCTGCTAACTGATCAAGAATTATGTCTCAAGAATGTGAGTGTGAATGGTTGTCTGTTTCTATGTGTCAGCCCTGCAATAGTCTGGCGACCTGACGGCCTCTCACCCATTGTCAGCTGGGATAGGCTCAAATAATAAATGAGACTTGGATAATACTGCACTAGTTGTGTGAGAGTTTGTAACCGGATGTTTTAATATAGTTTTGCTTCTCTCTTTACTTTCATTCATCAAGAATAGAAGAAAAACTGTTTTCGTCACAAACTCAATGCACAAATAATAATTTGTGTGCGAGTGTGTTGAGGAGGGGGCGGTCACGTATTCTTTTAAGACACTGTCAAAAACATAAGAAATTATTCAACCCCACACTTGGCTCAATACATCAATAGTATTTCTATTATTCTATCGCTCCAGCAAAACAGAGTCTAACTGGTCACAGATTTTCACCCATCACAATATTCAAAGATTTAAGTGTCTTGTTTTGTTCGACACTCAGTCCAAACACACTCAATTTAAAATGAAGGAGCTGGAGTCAGTAATCATTTGGCACTTGAACGTGGTTAACTGATTTTCAGAAACAATTGATTTTCTTTTGATGGGCTAATCTTTTCAGCTCTACAGAGAACTTTGAAAATAGCTATCATAAGTCCCAAGTGTTCAAGTGCCTTGTTTAGTCGTATTATTAAACCTCAAAGCCCCCAAATATTCCAGTCATGATGCTATAAAAAGAGAAGCAAATCCCCACTTTTGGGAAGAGGGAATAACTGAAAATTCCAGTTCAACCTGGGCTTTTGCTGATTATGTAAACTTCTGATTTAACATTTCAGCACAAACTTAACTGACATCTCCCGTCACATGTCTGTGTGACAAACAGACCAAAGGTTTACTGTCCTGTTTTGCAAGTTCACCTGGGAAACATTTACCTTCTTCTCCTCCTCTGAGTATTTGGGGCTCTGCAGTCCACTTGAGAACAAAACTTGTCCCAGAGCTTTCATCATGGCTGCAGGAGGGTGGTCAAAACTGTCTGATAACAAAAGTAAAATATCGACACACTCAGACGTTTTCCAACAACTGGCAAACATATAATGTATAATTAGGCATTATACAACCTGGTATATAACCAGTTACATCACGTCACGAGATGGGTTATGTATTCAAACACACCTTAGCTTACAAAATAACTGTTTCCAGTAAATAAATCATTTCCGGTTGAGTATTTCTTCACCGCCTCACTTAACGCTTCTGTTAAAACAAAGTTATCACCGTGTGAGTTGTAAATTAATTGAATACAATCAGAAACAGAAGCGTAATTACCTGTAATGTCACGCGACTGGTGCAGCTGTAGCGGGATGGGGTGCGTTTGTTTTCGTGCCATCGCTTCCGGTTACACAAAGCTGACACCTGATTGGCTGAGCGAGAGACCTTCAAAATAAAAGTCCACTGAGTGAATAAAGAGGCAGAAAAGTTCACCTTTGCCTCCATTTAGACTAAATTTAGATATGTTTGAGTGCCCCAACATTCCTGCTACAAATGGTGCAATTAAATTATAGCATTTATAAATGAAAATGACATCTAAAACACGAGAAAAAAGACGAGACAAAAGAGAGGGGATGCATTTAAAAAATAAACTTCATAATCACTAGGCATGATCTGAGGTGTATCTAAAATAAAATACTTAATAGCAGGGCAGAGATTGTGCATTATACAGGAGGAATATGTTGAAAATGCAGTCTGACAGAATGTAAATCCCCTGATAATGTTTGCTAATAAAATATAAACTTAAACTTCATATCCACCAACATTATTAGGTTTGATCTTAAGTGTTATTGTCTCTCTGTACCAGTGAGTCCCATTCCCAGTGTACATAATGGATGGACAAATTTGTATGAGAACATGTCTGTGCTGTTTGTAATAACTTAACCTGCTGGCAACTGGTGTCATGTGTGGTCAATCAAGCCCTGATGACTGACTGGGTGCACCTGTAGAGTGATCCTTAAATGGGCTGACTCATCATGCCTGAAATGTTTGCACTTCTGCACATTGTTTTCAACTGTCTTTACAGTGTAGTATCTGAAGTTCTACATGGTATTTGATGTCCTGGGTCTGATATGATCAGTTAGGGGCCCAGGTCAAGAATTTATTATGGCCCAGGTCAAGGATTGATAAGCTAGGTTGAAAGGTTGGATTCCATCTAGATCGTCTCTCTGTCACCTGTCTCATTTTGTCTCAAAGTTCACAAAAACAACCAACCTATATAGGCAGGGTAGTTGGAGCTATTATTCAGAGCAGTTCATATTGGCTTCAAACCCTCTCTCAGGCAATCCTAGGTGCTTGATTTGATGGTTGACTTCTTATAATAAACCTTTCTTTATACAAGCAAGACGGTGTCAGCGGAGTATCCTTCATCACCTTCACATCATCGCTATTTAATAAACAACAGCCCCAATATGACATATATAATAGACACATTTAAAAATCCAGACTCCTGACTGAATGTCTTGTGCCCTGGGTGTGTGAGTCCTCCACACCAGAGAAGACTAACACAGGAGGGCTCTTTTTAAGGTGCAGCTACACTCTTGTGAACCCTATGATCTGAAGTACACAGAAACTAGTGTCAGGTTGAAAATGCACTCTGAAAGAATATATATGCACCTATTGTTTCTGCTAGGAAAGATTAAACTTCTCTATAGTCACCAAGATTGTTAGACGTGATCTGAAGTACATACAAAATAATAACACAATAATAACACAATAACACAAAACACTTGATGGTACGACAAAGACTGTGCATTATAGAAGGGTTTACATATTTTGGCCGACTGCATGTACAGCATGGTTGGACAAGCACCTTAATCACTGTGCAAATGCATTATCTGTCTACAAGCACCTCTAAAGATCACTCAGATTAATCAAATGTAAATAACACGTTATATTTTGGTCGTTTGATTGGTACAAGTACCCAAGTTTAAAGACATTTAACAAATCTATCTGTGGGGGTTGTGTGACTGACTACGTCTTTCATGCAACTAGCAGACTCCTGAAAGTTACTGCTTTCAGTAACAGAGCACTTCACAACTGGAGTGGTTTGGTCTTAATTTAAATATATATGTATATATTTGTAGTTGTAGTGTATATGGTAAAAAATACTGATCTGTCCTTTAGTTTTAATACAAATAAGTTATCATTACAAAGCAGAAGACTGACCCACAGGTCACAAATTCAGTGTCTGCCAGTTGCTTTTTGGTAATTTGATTACTCGCACATTTGTCTGGGAATTTTAACCACGGAAGTACCACTATAACCTGGGTCTGACGAAAATCTAGTTCTAACATCTTTATTATTTTAGATTGTGCTGTTCCCACATGGTGCATTTGTTCATTATATTACTACAAAGTAACTGACACACAGAAAACCTGGGGCGGGTGGTATTCCTTTTGTAGGACAGGTTGGTTTGAAGTTGCCATCTATAGTGTGCAGTGAACCTCATGGCAACAGGTGCCTCCAAACAGCTTCATCCAGCAACGGCAATCATCACTAGACTACAGTCAAAATCAGGGGTCAGCAACCTGTACTGTCAAAAGAGCCATTTTTGACCAAAAACCGCAAAGCCATAAAACTTATTTGAAACATATTTGAGCCTCTTAATAAAGGTAAAAGGTTTTGAGTCAAATTTAGCATATCAACATTACTAGCAGATCTAAATGAGCATTCATTAACATGTTTTAGCACAAAGTGGCTATTCTGCAGTGGACTGTTTTTTAATTACTTGGTACTTTGATAACTTTTTGGATTAGGAATCCACAGCTAGTCTGGCTAAGGAGACTCAAGACTCCCTTAGCCATCATTTGTGATGTTTTTAGAGGAAACAGCGCCAAGCCAGATGTATGATGCACATTTTAGCTGATGAAATGTTAAAACACCTTTTAAATCGGTGTATAAGCTACGCACTTTTACAGTTGAAGAATCCAAGAATCACTAATTGCCATATAATTTTCTGTCAAAGCCACAGGGAGCCACTGGAGAGGGTCCGCATGCAGCTCTGGAGCCGCAGGGTGCCTACCCCCTGGTCTAAATCAACTTTTACCAAGCAACTGAAAGTTATTTCTGGGAAGATCATCTCCCATTTATTTACTACATTAGAATTATTTACATCACGGGGTCGATAGCTAACTTTACAAGAAAAAAATAAGTCATTTGCAGTATTTAAGAAACACACAGTTCAGGCGATATGAGGCACAACCACAGAGAGGAGTCGGCATAAAAACCTTAAACCTCACAGGACATCTTCAAACATTTAACACACACACACACGTGACAGATCGGTTATGAACGGGGAGAAAGCTGCTACATCTGAAACTGATTTGAACATCGATGTGATGGTCGGTATAACATGTCTGTCGTATTTAGACTTCAGCTACAGTTTTGCAGAAGTGGAGACACGGGGTCTCCGTGGAGATGAGCAGGTGTAGAGCAAGGCAAGCGAGACTGTGTTTACAGACATGGATGCATAGTTTAATATCTGTAACTCTATCTAGCATTATCCATATTGCAGTTGCATCTCTCTTGTCATTGCTCAGGTGATGTATGCACACACACGCACACACACAAGCATTGTATGGAACTGTAAAAACGTAATCTACAGGGTCATGCAATCCAATGAGGAGACGACGGCAGCAGCTTTCTGTCTCCATACCGTTGTATGAGGCGAGTCCAATTCATTACAATTCACAGAGCCAAGGGCAGTGGAAAAAAGGCAGAAAGACAGAGTGGTTTGTCAAATGTCTGTTGCTTACACAGAGTCCAAATGTCACCGCTGGAAATAGCAGCAAACAATTCATCACTTGAGCTCCAGAACTCCACTTACAACCTGGTAATAGTTTCTCTAAGCGGCATTGTATGGAGGATCAAGAGAGCCTTGATGATTATAAAACAGTGTGTTAATTAATATTTACACGAACATAACACGGGGGAGTATGTGATATACAAATGCGGCAAATTGCGGGTGAAGAATTCTTTTAACTTTAAGATAGTTTTAATCTATATATCGGTGGGTTAATCTATTTGGCAGTATGTTATGATTCCCTCTTTTACTGTCACAAATAAATATCAATTAAGGCATTGTATGATAACCTTCTCTAAGGCTCCATATCCTCCAGGAGTTAGTGCATTCTTTGTTTTAGGTTGTAGCTGCTGAAGCTCTGGCGCCCTGCGAGCGCTTCAGGGCTGGTGATTCTGGTGGACGAAGGACAAAACGTCATCTTTGGACAGTTTCTCAGGGTCCACGCGTGTCTGAGAATCATGGACTATCACCCCGTCCACCCACGCCCAGAAGAGACGCTCAGAGTGGCAGACACTGAGGACAAAGACAAAGAAAGCATAATGTTCATTCATGATATCATCACATTAACTTCCCCTATCATCCGCCACTACAGAACTGATGGTTCCTCTTTTACATTTTCTGGCACAACTGATTAAATCAGAAATTAATATGTGGATTGACAATATGTTACGTACTGGAAGGGGGCAGCGGAGTTTTGAGGCATTTCATAGGTGGACTCCTTGGTGGTCTTGTTATAGAAGAACTTCATCTTTGAGTTTTTGCTGTATGCCATCGTCCATGGCTCTGAAGGACAGAGAGGGATTGTAATTAATCAAAGTATTTTAGTCACAGGATCATTGAGGCTTTGACATGCTTAAAACAAATTAAAGCTGCAAAAGAATTAAAGTATCACTTTTGACAAGGAGCTGCAGCAAAAACACAAACACGTACCATTGACAGTCTTAATGATGTAAAGGCCAGTGGGAAGGAAGTGTCGGTCATCTCTGCCGGTGTAGGACAGACGTGGGACTCCCCCTGAGCTCTTTGTCACCTTCATCTCTAGTCTGGATGAGGAAAAGAAGAAAAAAAAAAGATCCTCCACATTAAGTGAATGATTATTTAAACTTGGCCTGATATTTTGTTATCATGTTGTGCCCTGAATATCATCTGATCATACCTGACAAAGATTTTCTCCATTTCTTCCAGCCTGTAAACTTCCTTCACTCTGGTTGAGGTAAATGAGATGTTACATTTCAGGTCCATCCACATTTTAAGCTGTATACTTTGCTTTGAACATTAATTTGATATGATTTGATCAAATTGTTTTTCCTAAAGTGGACCATATCGCCCCATGATTTTGTGCGACTAATAGGAACAACAATTTTTGATATTGGTCCAGGATTAAGTGAGAGTGCTGTAGCCAGCAGCTCCAGAACAGCCTGCAACGTAACCGCTTGGGGCATGTTCCCACTGTCAGTTTACGTCCGCTAAAAGTGCTTGTTTTTGCCACTGACAGGCTCAGATTTATATCTTAAGTGTCTGATAGGACCCTGCAAAGAGACTTTTTTTGTTAAAGAGTAAGATCCTTTTTGTTTAACCGAAAACACCCTCAAAATCACCATCACCAAACACACCAGACTATTTAAATACGTAGTAATTTCAGCATGTATAGATCCAGCATATTTTCACATCGAACTGGGTGAATTAGGGGTTTATTTCAACCAAACCAGAGTTCTGTGTGACTGTCAGAACAGTGCACAGAAGAACCAAGACAGCTTTTGTTGGTTTTATTTTGTTCCTGTTGACTGTTGAAAATAACTCTTTATTTAATGGAGTCTGGTGGGCTTGGCGATAGCGATTTCAGGGCTGTTTCTGGTTAAATAAAAAGGATCTTACTCTTTAAGACAAAGGTCTGGCTCTGTAGGGATCCTTTCCATAAAGTTGTTAAGACACTTAAAATTACAATCTGAGTCAGTGGCAAAAACAAGCACCTTTAAATCTCAGCTGCTTGCTGCAGCGCTCGTGCTCAATGCTGGACAAATTTCAAATATTCTTGCTCCCATTCGTCACTCAGACACAAAAACATGGTAAAATAGTTGAAAAAGGTTGAAAAATACCAACTTCTCTATTCATCCTTCTTCCTTGTTGAAAAATATATAATCTACAAGTATGCAAACTTTTTAATTTAAAGTTTCACCACTGGCTGCAAGATGTCTCCTGCTTCACTGAAATGTCCTTCTTATTGTATGTGCACTGAAGCTTCAAGTTGTCCCAACACTCGTGTTTAAGCTGCATACTGTGCCATGCTTTGCTTCCAAACAAGTTGTGATATCACAAAATCATGCTTGTATGTACAAGTCTTTAACTCAGATGTACGTCATCGATGTTTGTCTGCATCCAGAGTAATGTCAAAAGTGTTTGATTTGTTTTTTTTTACGTGGTATACTATGTTTAGTATTATGAAAGTGTGAGTTTTCCTCAACTCATACTGCTCATCCTTTCAGTGCTTTCATTGAGGATAAGATCCCCGAGAATAAATTACAAATCAGCACTTGAAACAGTTAAATTCATATAAATCAATACCTGATAGGGTTCATGTCTGGCCTGCTGGGTTTGGCTACTGCCTTCACAAACTTCTCAGCCATCTGGATCCTGGACATACGATGGTCATTACTTAGTAAACTATAGAAAACTGGTATGAAAGTACACTGTATTGTGACAAAGGTCAATTTATTTGCAACAATGAATGCTGTACAAAAAGATGATTTTGAGAATAAATCAGTAAGAGCGTAAGAATCAATGCTAAAGCTCTCCTACCTTTGGTTGAAGTGCTGTTCTCTTACATCAGTGCCATTCAGTATTAGTGCATCCATTACATGAACTGCGTTGATCCTACGCTGAGCTTTGCCCTGAGGACCAAACACACTGTATTCATACATTTAAAACCATACACACAAGCAGCAGATAACTAGTTTGCTAACAAGAGAAAAATCATCAAGAAAGCACGACACAACAAAAGTACACATCATCTCATCAGAACTATTATTTCAGCGTTAACAGAAATGGAGCCAAGCTTCATGAGATTAGGATCCTGGCTCTCATCTGTTTTAAGTTTCCAGCCCCTCCTCTCTCACCTCGCCCTTCAGCTCTTGGACGATCTCCACGCTCAGAAGTGTATCTCTTGGCAGCTCCAGTTTGAAATTCTCAAGTTTCCTCCAGCGCACGGGCATCTTCCCCTCCCATGTGTATATCTGAGATTTCTGCAAAGGCCAAGGGGAAAAGGAAGGAAATGGAGAACAGATAAAAAAAAGCAGGTTCAATGACAGGCTACTGTGCTTTTAAATGAGCGGTAAAGCCTCTCTGGTCACCACTATCCATCTAAATAAAATATAAAAGCATTGGAGGTGAAAGGATTTGGCGTTTCAGCTCTGTATTCTAATCTTTTCCAGAAGAAAAGGAATCAATCTTACACAGAAAACAGCTGAATTTGATGACACCGCCCACGCTGTCCCACACATATATATAATGCATGTAGGACCATTTACTGGATATCAAATATTGAAAATCTTAAAATAGACACATTATAACTGCCAAGTTCAAAAAGAGGACAGTGCAGTGAGACAAAACACGAGCTGAAGACCTGAGTTTTGTTCCTCTTTTTAAGACTCACCCCCAGTGCTAGGAGGAAGATCTGCTCTCCACCTCCCACAATGCATCTGTGGTCCAGGATATGGCGTAACTTGTCAAGAGTAGTGGAGTTGAGGGGTGTGAGCTTACATTGGAAGGACTCCACATCTGAGGACTGAGGTGTGACAGAAGTAAAAAGTAAATACTGTTCAGGATTTACCAAAGTGTGCAAAGATGCTCAACTTATGTATTTACTGACCTTAATTAGTTCGTAGAATTTTGACTTTGGATCTGAGGAAGCAGGTGTGACTCTGGCCTTGTCTGGGACCTGAAAAGGGACATATCATGTATTTAGGAGTGGAGCAGTATTGAAATGTTTTCATTAGTTCTACATAGTCCAACTTCAATGTAGTGCATGTATCACATTTTCTCTACTCACCCCCCAAAGTTTCAAACACTCCTTCCTGATATCTGCTTGCCTCGGCTCTGAGAGGGTCCTAGAGAAACAAATGTCACACAATCAGCTGCATACATAAACACCATCACACATGGCTGTACTGCAAAAGGGTCACATAGACAAGAACAAGAGAGGGGACTCACGGGTCTACGACAAAGGCGTGGATCTTAGCCAAGGCCTTGATCTGGACTGCACAGAGGCTACAGTGAGAGTTCATTTGTCAGTCACTTGGTTTGAAAGAATGAAAGGCCTGTGTGAATACTGTGTGTCTCTACCTCTCGTTGGAGTTGACCATGAACTGGTAGAAGTCTGTGTCTTCCTTGATGATGCTCAGAGGGACCACATCTGTAACGTCCATGTCTGTGTTTTTCAGCTGGTTCAGCTTCAGGTTGACTCTGAACATGTATTCCCTGACGGCATCTGAACCGGGCTTGAGACCACGACACACGATGTACCTGCAGATAGCAGTGAGGGCAAAGAGTTTAACAGATACAAAAATTGTCTGAACACACTCTCCTCTTAGTCTAAATCAAAAATTGGATCAATAGCAGTGAGACTGTCCCATTTCCTCTAACACTGCTTTAGTAACCAACTCAATACAGCCCATACACACCTCTCAGAGTTGGCAGGCCTGCTGGTGACGGGTTTGAAGAGTGAGATCCTGTCGAAGCAGAGGTAGAGCAGGTAGACCAGACCCACACTGAAGGGCGTGAAGAGGTCAAATGTCTTGCAGACAAAGTTACCACCTGGAGAAGATAAAAAGTGCCACTATCATTTAATCTGAACCCATGGAAACAAACATACAGTACATGTGCTCACACAGACAAGTATAATAACATAAATATGAAGAAGGTATACAGACAGTGTTTCCCCGAGATACGGAGCGGCGTGCAGATGGAAAGATGTTTTCATCATTTTCACAGAATTCTTTATGAAAGTTAGAAACACTGGGAGCTTTCCACTTTGGCAGAGATTGAAACAGGAGCCACTGTTGGACATAACGCAGATGAACAAGGTGACTCTTTTGTCATTCATTCATGCACATGTATACACATACCTGTCCTGAGTGTAGAGAGGGCAGTGAGGAACTGACAGAGCAGCAGCTGTTTGCTCAGGATCTCCTGGATGTTTTCCTGGCCTTCCACAGAGAAACCCTACCAGGGACAATCATCAAACCAAAAGTGATGAAATCAGTAAACAAAAAGCTGAAAATCTTCAACCCACAGGGAGCAGAAATCTGTAACCTCCTCTTCTATTTGATATGTAAAGTGAAGATGCTGTAAGTAAGGATGTTTAAAAAAGTCTCACCCCATCTGCCATGAGGACGTGCAGCCCTCTTCTCTCTGTATTCTCCAGGACAAAGTTTCGGAAGGCAGTCATGTTTTCTGGCCGAGTGATGTCTCCGTCGCCGTCCACCCCTCCCTCACCTGGGACACACAGAGGTCAAGCTTTCACTGAATCATTCATCACCTGAGACGTGACCAGTTTCTGTTCTCCCCTGAACATGTCCACATATAAATCATGTCAAGACAAAAATGTTAAAGTCCAACAGAATGTTACACAAAACAAAGGGCATCCTATAATAAATCATCACATATATCGCACCATCTCTCATCAGTTTCCGTTCATCACCCACTGTGTGAAGGTTTGGGGAAAAAACATTGAGGAAGCAGACTGCGATGTAACCACTGACAGGCTCAGATTGTTATTCTAAGTGTCTGACAATTTATGGAAAGGATCGCTGCAGAGACAGACCTTTTTGTCATAGAGTGAGATCCTTTTTGTTTAAACAGAAACACTACTGGAATCGCCATCACCCACTCACCAGACTCCATTTAAATTTACAGTAATTTTAGCGTGTATGGAGCCAGCACATTTTCACATATAACTGGGTGAATTAAGGGTTTATTTCAACCAAACCAGAGTTTTGTGTGATTGTTGGAACAGTGGAAAGACAAACCAAGATAGCTTTTGTTATTAGTTTGTTTTTCTTGACTTTGAATGAAGTGTGTTTTACGATAATAAAATTTCTGTTCATTTAAACGGAGTCTGGTGGTTTTGGCGATAGCAATTTCAGGGCTGTTACTAGTTAAAAAAAAACCAACTCTTTAACTCCTTAACAAAAAGGTCAGTCTCTGTGGGGATCCTTTCCATAATGTTTTCAGACACTTAGAATAATAATCTGAGCCTGTTAGTGACACAAACAAGCACTTTTAGTGGATGTAAACTGAAAACGTAAAGTTAAAAATGACCAAAATAATTTAAAACAGTGTGCGTACCGTAGTAAGGCTCAAACAGCTCACTCGGCGCTGCAAAGAAATCCTCCAGTTTAAAGTCACAAGGTCCTTTTAGCGTCATGCCAAACCCCTTGGCGTGCCAACGCCTCCTCCAAAGTATGTACTCTGAAAAGCCTCCAGGCCCCGCACAGACGTCACCGAAGTATAGGAGCTCACCCTCGCGGTCCTTCGTCAGAGGTTTCTACACAACAAAAAAGGTTTGTCTCACCATCTGCTTATATGAACAAAGGTTCAGTGCAGCACATGTCAGCTGTTAGTGTGACCAGCTCACCCCTTGTGAATCCTTTGGGTTGGTGAACATGTGGTCGAGGCAGTGGTCCATGTTGGCCATTTTCATAGCTGCTCTAAACACAGAAAAAAACACAATACAACTTGTCACTGTCTTTAAACGTTTGGCACACTCCACTCTTTAATCAGAAAATCCTGCATTTGGTAAAAGGCTTACTTCAGAATATCCAAATGAAATACACTGTTTACATGACCCGTATCAAAGTCAGTATATTATAATATTCAGAATAATAGTTGAACTTAAGTGTGCACAAAAACACAGTCATTGATAATTCGCCAGCACTGTTGTTAACTGCTGAAAGACTGACCTGTTGAGGAAGATACCGCCTCTGATTGTCTCGTATGGGTTGGAGCGTGTCCGTGCTCTCCTCATCTCCTCGCCCTCCAGGTTATCAAACACTGTCTGAACATCAAACAGACCAAGTGGTTAAACTCAGGAACATAACAACATTATGATTTAGGTCTATTCAGTGTAGATGGCAATGAACGGAGCTTTACACAAGGAAAAATGCATAAATATACGTATTATGCACAATACAGTGAAGAACAAGGGATGCCAAAAATAGTTTATAACAAGAACACACACACAAGTTATAACTCACCTTGCACCTTAGAAGAGTGTGCAGGAGGTCCTCAGTGCAAAACTCTGTCTCATCCTCAATCTTGAGTTTTCTCTATAAGCCGAAAAATATTACTTTAAAAATGAAATGTGGACACAGGAGGCGAAAGAGTGTACCTGAGTGAACACTATGGACGTTACAACAGTATATGTCTGAGTGTTTGTATTCACCTCTCCCAGTTTCATCCAGTCCCTCAACTCATCTGCATCTGGGTTCTCTGTGGTGCATTCTGGGAACCAGTCTACCTTCTCTATGGCACTGGGCTGGACAGACAGACAGAGACAGGGATGGAAACAGCTCATGTTGACAGGTCATTACGATGTTTACATATGAAAAACAGAAAACAGAGAGAACAGTTCAATAATAGACAATACACATTAATTTACAGAAAACATTACATGAATATTATTTACTTCTGTGTACCTCTGGTTCATCGCGCCAGTCCACATTTAGCTCCCCCTGAAAGCCCTGCAGTGTGAGGCCGAGACCTCTTCTCCCTCGCTGGGTGGAGGCCTCCACAATCTCTTTGCGTCCCTGTCCAAACTTTCCCAGACCTTCACCCTCACGGAAACCCATCTTGGCCTAAAGGTGTGAGACATAAGAGAGAATCAAGGAGTTTAGAAAAGATACTGGAAAACTCTGTTTTTTTTGAATATGTTGCAAAATAAACTAAAAATGTCGTTATCTATCTAAGCTTAAGAACAATCCAAAATTCTACAACAAAGACTCTGATACTGTCGTGTAAAATATCTTAAGTTAGTGCAGGTTTCAGAACATTACCATGAGTTTCTGTGACACGCTGTTGTACATGGAGAAGTTGGAGGAGGCCTGAGAGGGGTCATTGTCTTGGTCATCAAAGGACGATATGGAGGGCATGGAGAATCTCGGTCTGTGATCATCTTGGTCACTGAGGGAATCATTTTGGCTCGAGTCTAGACAGGACAAAATCACAGACAAATGTCACTAAACAAGAAGAGAACCACTGAAGTTATTTAACAACAACTTTAATGACGACGGCAGGCCATGTTCACAACACACTTGTAAACTTGGGAATGCACAATGATATTGGTACATCATTGGTATCGGCCGATATTGGCTTTAAAATTAAATATCAGAATCGGCCAACATGCTTTTTCTTATTTTGCACACTTAATTAATGTTAAATATATACAAAAGTATTGTATTTTGTGTCTCCATCTGCTGGTGGGCCGTCACGATAAGAGTATACATGCATAATATGATTTTAACTCTACTACAGAAGAGACTTAATGATTACTAAAATAGGTGGGGAAAAAGTGGATATATCTATTGGTATTGGTTATCGGCAAAAAATCCAATATCGTGCATCCCTTGGCAAATCAAAGCTCTACTCACTGACTTGAAAGATTTAACATGTACTTAAACTCAACTGACCCTTAATCCAGTGGTAGAATTTAACAAAGTCACATACAAAAGAACTGTACTTCAATACAATTTTGAGGTACTTTTACTTTACTTGAGTATTTCCATTTTATGCTACTATTTACTTCCACTCCACTACATTATTACATGATTTTTTTCTTCTCTCTTGGTGCTTTAATTATACTTGAAGCTAACACTTTGTACTTTTACTTGTGCAAGATTTTGATTTCAGCACTTATAACTGTTTTTTACACAGTAGTATACTGTTGCTAATTTTACTTGAGTAAAAGATCTGAGTACTTCTTCCACCACTGCCTAAATCACAGCTTGGAGAAGCACATCATTTATTTAAATGATTTATACTAAATAGCTTTTAATATTAACTAAAATAATGGCAGACCATGTCTGGAGGTGGAAAATAGATCTGTCTACCTTGTCTGGATAACTGCGACTCTTCATCTGAGCTGCTGTCATCTCGATGCCTCTTTGTCCCCTGCGGTGGTGCCGGCGCCGCTTCAGCTCGTCTCTTCATCCTGGCTGAAACAGAGCAGAGGGGACAAAAAGAATATCGTAATCTGTCTGATTGATGAGGTGCAGCAGCACACAGAGAGGATATAAAAGAAGACCAAGGACTGTGACAGGAATACCCAAACATGGAGGAGCAAAATAAATGAAACAGAGCAGCAGAATCTTACTTCATGTACATGTCAAGAAAACAACACAGGCAGACTAAACCAAAACAGAAAGTAAGGCAGTGATGCATTCATGAGAGGCGGCCAAAAGCTCTGTGGCAGACGGTGCTGAAGCTGGAATAATTAGTCAATATATTGATTGATGGATACCGCATGTATACAGAGCTGATTATTTAAGTAAAAAGTTTTCTTGAATTTATTATTGTATAATCAGTGTAACGGTATTCCTTCTAGATATTAAAATAACCCACTGATGAGCAGTAGGCACATTAACTTCAGTCTGATGTGAATGACAGGATATTTAATCTAGTTTAAAACAATTACTAAAGAAGTTTTAATTACACAGTCACACGGTAGAAAAACTATGTGCACTTATCTCTAACACAGCTCTCTGTTCAACTAAACTGCAAAATGTCAAACACTCAAATAAAGAGAGCAGCATTATCAATTTTCAAGATGAATCTGTCCATTTATATGCAATACCTACACTTCATACAATATCTGCGAACAACTTTTGCATGACATTTAGATTAACATATTCACACATTGTGGCTCCTACAGTTAGCCTTAATTTTTTCAACCTAAGACATCACTTTACACTGCTACAATCGGCATTTAACATATCTGACCATTACAAAATAAAGAAATAAAATGAAAAACAACTGTTAGTTGCAGGTGTAACAGCTGCCCAGTGCATGGTTAGCAATGCATATGCACTGACTTGCATGTTTTCAAACAAATGCATGCTCAACACATATAAATATGCATGAAGACAATACAGGAAAAACTGGTAATCAGTGAACAATGAATCCTGCCACCAATGACTTTGAACTTGTACATGTTTGACCTATACAGAACAAGGTAAAAAGGGTGCAAACTTTAGTTCTCTGGGGCTGAAAAGGGTAACTGAAGAACATTTTGAAATTCCCATGCAAACACAATCCGAAGAATGTATGTTGAGGTGTTAGGTGACTGTATTTCTGTCGTGGTATCACGTGTAGGTTAAAAATGGATGCTACTACCAAGTGTACACACAAACGATCATATAAACAGCTCGCTTGTTGATCGTGGGACATCTACCCCCGGTTAACGTCCCTTGTGTATTAAAGTAACATAGCTAGTCGACATCACACACAACACAAGCGATGTCTTGAACCTCCACGTTGCAATAACTTGATAATTATAATGTTACAAACTGAAAATAAACGTCCTGCAAATACGAGTCGTTACGTCTGTGTGTGTGTTGCAGTTAGCAGCAGTCAGCTATCAAAGTTTGGTAAAGTCGGCCCATGCCACTCTCCAATATATATTACAGCAGGCAAACACAGCTAAAGTGGGCAGACTTGACTGGTGGGTGTTTTCGGTGTTTTCTGGGAAACTAAACTGCGCAGCTGTAGCAGCATTTAGCTTTTAGCTAGCTCAGTTAGCCAGCTAGTTTTTTTACCAGCTCAGGAGAAAAACTTCACTCTTCTGTGGCGACACAGCGGCGACAAAGCGTTATTTCCGCATATGTTTCGAGCTCTCCCACTCGGATATTTAATTGCGTGGAAACTTTTGTTGTAAATACACTTGTTTTTTGCAGTTTACATTAGCCCGCGCTATGTTTCCACAGACATCTGAGGTCCTTCGGCTTCTGACGACACGCAGTCATGATGCGCGTGACGTCATGGCTGTCTATGCAAGTGCCTGTTTGTTTTTGTTGATATTATTTTATTTTATTTTATTTTATTTGTTTTCATTCATTTCATTTTAAATCTTTTTATTGATATTTCAACAAATATGGAGCCATAAGGACACATAGAACAACATACAGTATACAAAACATCAAACAAATACATAAGTAACTAAACATTTATTTATTTATTTTTAATTTTCATTGATTGTATTCATTTTATTGGTGACAACCAGCTTTGATTACCTCTTGTTATCTTGGATAATGACTATGACATGCAAAGGTCTATTATAAACAAAGGTTATGCCTGTATGTTGTTGACAGAAATGTTTAAATAAAGAAGAATATGTGTATGACAGAGATATAACTTCATTTTTCATCTTGATGATATGACACAGTCACACACAGGCAACTTTGCATTGACTACAGAAATGATGTAATTACCTACTCAGTAGAAAAACAAGATCTCCACTGCAGCTACATTTTCACTGGTTGGCACCCCACATGCTTCTTTAGGTGAGCAGCCTAGTTTTGACTCTGCAGTACTGTACTCTGCACTCTCTCTACTCTGCAGTCCCCAGAAAGTTATGAAAATTAAAACAACCCCGCTGAAAACTAAGATTAAACCTGCCTGTCTTTACATTTGTATTGGCCTGGATAAATACCAGAAGTGCCAGGTGAAAAAGGCACCTTCACATTTTTATGGGTGCATACTGTTTTGAATTTCTTGTGCCTAAGAATATCACTAGTTGGGACTCATTTACATAAAACTTTAATTGCATCGTTTTTTGTGTGTGCGATTACGTGATTAGATTTTCCTTTAATCAGTCTTGCATGTCTGTTACATTAAGCTAAGCCATTCTTGGCAAGTGAGTTCAGGGATCCTGAGCTGTCCTTCAAAACAATGATTAGGCTATTTCCAGTGGTAGCTACTTTACAATGGGTTGTGAAAACAGGCATCTACGCTTTCCTGTAAGCAAAAAAAAGTCACACAGAAACATGTCAGTGTAACCTGTGTGGCTCCGGCCTGTCTGCACATTGAGTGAAAATAATTTTTCTCCCACAGGCTAAAGCAATCATCTTTTCAGCGTATTTTCAAAATGTGAGCGCTGAGCCAGGTACAGTAGATCCTATGGGGTTATTAAGTTTCAAGTAAACGCTCCTGCTTTCGTGATGCAGCTTGAAGCGAAGCTGTTAGTGCATCGCATGCCTTCATTGATGAGCCTGTCAAAGCCTTCTTAGGAGAAACAATGTCAATGGCCTGTTTTCGTGACACAAGGCAGATAACTAGAGGAGGCACTGAAGCTCTACTTCCTGACAGTAATTCTTCTATAGGACAAAAATAATGTTAGAAGGTGCAGATGACTATAACAGGATACTGTACTTCATTGACACATTTTTTTATGCCTTTTAAATTTTAACACACACACGCCTATTCATTCTGCTTCAACCCTTCAGATAGTAACTGTTAGTCACTTTGCTTTGTCTTTGAGGTCATCTAAGATTGTGCTAAATATACTTTTGTGTAAACTGTTTTTTAATTGAACTGCTTATGTTTCCGATGCATCTTCAAGATCAGTCTTTTATTAAAAAGAGATGACTATATAAAAGTCTATATATCGATAAATATTTATGAAAGTCGTCTGGCTATACAAAAGACAGATAAAATAGGGAATAATGAAAATAAAACAGCATGAAGCATGGAAAATGGCAACTGTAAAATGCCACATTGTTGATCTAAATTTGGTCCGTTACTTTTCTCCATAAAGGGCTGTCAACTCTGGAACAATTATCACCCGAAATCTAATTAATTCCAGAAATAAAATACTTTACAACAAAGGTTAAGTGCTGGCTTAAAGCATAGCTGTACAGTTCAGAGCTGTACCCATTTTAGCTCATTGTAATGTACATTTTGAAAGTGTATGTCTGTTGTGTATTGTATTTCCATAATTATAGATTATTGCTGTTTTCAAATTCAAAGTCAGGTTATTTAGAAACCCTAAATTATGTGAATGTGAGTGTAAATGCTCAGACAAAGTGATGGAGTAGTGGTCTGTATAGGATGTTTTGTTATCCAACGCATGCTAGGATAGGCTGCAGCCCCTCAGGAGAAATAATAAGGTGTATGGATTTTTTTGTGGCTGAGACACTGTAGAAGCCTGGTTCCTATATGTAGACAGAATATATGGTTTTGCTTTTGTTCTGCCTGGAGACATCATCCCAGCATCCACTGTTGCAATGCGATTTGCCTTTTAATTGTTCCTAATTGTTAAAACTGCCTCTCTGTGACCCCAGCAGACGTCATTACAGCGTTGCTTTGTCATCCGTTGATGAGGCTGTCACTGTGTGCTTCTCCCCCACATAATTGGTGTCCAATAGACTAAGAACATTTCTCACAGGTATATTAGTCCACCACATCTCCACTTGCTCTGCTAATCCTCCACTGACATAAATGCACTTACACACTAAGACAAACACAGTCCAACACCATGTGACCGGCTTACGCAACGAAGCCAAGGCTTTATATGCAACCTACAGGGACCGGTGTCCCTCAAGGGAGATCATCATAGTGCAGGTGCATATCTGAGCGAGGGAGTGGGGAGTGTGTCTTGGGACACGGGGGAGAGCTGCTGCTGCTGCTGACAGCTTAGTGGAGGAGACTGGGGCCAGAGAGACACTGAGGGCTTCACAGTGATAAAGTTGCCAAGCAGAGAGTCCTGAGGGCCGGTTGCAGAGGGGTTTCCTGTGGTCTCAGCTGTGCAGCGCTGGAGAGAACAACAACAATGTTTTTCCGCATCCCTCGACTGACCCCTGGATATATTAGATTCCTGCAGGTGCGTAAGATGCTTTGGGGCGATTTTCTTCTCTGCATAGATTAATGATTAGTCTTGGGCATCAAGGGGCATCTGCAGTGGCACAACAGTGGAGCAAATTCCATTAGAGCCTCTAATAACAAACAAGTGTTGGGATCTAGAGCCACGGCCCTGCACGTTTCCCTGCCTACACTTGGTGTTGCATTGTAGCAAACAGCAATTGTGTAGGTTTTGTTTCACCAGTTGGGGGGGGGGGGGGCACATATGAACCTGGAAGTTTGGGGTCCTCCACTGAGAAACTTTGAGCATCAAACACTTAATTTCCTGCATTCTGGTGGATTTTCTGTATCAAATTTTGCCTTTTTTGCCTCAGTTTATGGTGGAAATGTCTTTAATTTTGTCAAAATATTGCTACTTTCATGTTCACTGGAGTTAAACCATCTTATTCATATCTGAAGAAAAGGTCAATATAAAAAGACATGAGACTGTCGCTTCAGTGCTCTGCTGAAAACTCATTTTAAACCGATGCCACTGACTCATCACTGTACCCAAAGTGTCCATTTGTGTGTGTTTGTCATGGCAGGATTTAGAATAGAGGATTACAGCAGCCTGTTTTTAAATGGATTTGAATCAGAGATGCCTTAGCTCCCTGGGGGCAGGTAAATGCCCTCCCTCCTAATTGGATCTCCAGAGGAATAGCATAAGACCCATGTTCCCAATCATCCCAGTGGGTGGTCCAGAGACCTGCAACTAGTTTTAGGAAGCAACAGTGTGGTTCATGTTTGTTTTTAAAAATGACAGTGTCGAACCTCATTATCTGTGTCTAGCTCATCAGAGTTTGTGTTAGGTTGTTCTTACTCGGTGATGAAATAGGTCAGAATTACATAAATGACGATTATGTGATCAGTACCTGCTGTGCACTTTCATAACTGAGAAGACGCCACTCTGTCGCTGTGACAAACATAATAGTGACGAGCTTAGAAAATAACTGAATGTATATCTGACTTTAGGACATGTCTTGGATTGGCTCAAATTTCGGAGATGTCTCCAAACCTGCACAGGACTGACACAATGACTGTATGAGGTTGAATATGTATTGAAACGTGACAAAATGGAGACCCTAGTGCGGCTCTTCCCTTATGGTAAGACCATCGCCGGGATGAGGCAGGTGTGCGACCAGGGTCACCTCTTTAAGGACTCTACTGCGGCCAGAGCAAGGAGGAACGTTGCTGACACACTGCCTTGGTCGCCATCGTCCCTGGCGATGATCGTGCCCGGTGGTGGTAGTCGTGGCTACGTGGGTGGTGACCCCTGCTCTCTCTTTCAGACTCAGGCAACCCAGACTGTGCTGCAGAGCCGAGAGGGCCCTGCGATGCCCCGCATGGCCGTCCTGCTGGGACTCATGGGGATCGGCATGTCCGGCTACAGCTCCCGCCAACTGACACTGAACTACAAGCCGGCGAGTCACCTGTTTAGATGAGCCGGATGGAGGACGGGAGCATAATTACCCACACATACACACATAATCTTGTACTTCTGTCTTTGTGAGGACTCTAATTAACATAATACATTCCCAAGCCCCCAACCCCACCCTAACCTTGACCGTCACAACTCAATGCCTAATCCCAACCCTGACCTGAACCTAATTGTAACCTGAAACTTTAAGATAAAGTCTTAACCCTCAAACAGGCCTTTGAAGAAGTCAGGATCGGCAAAAATGTCCTCACTTTGTTAAAAACATGTTTTGGTTCTCACTATGTACGAGTACAAGACACACACACACACACACACACACACACACACACACACGCACTTATACTCAAAGTTAAAGTTTGACATCTTGGAAAACGTGCCTATTTAGACTGTTTCTTGGCTCCAAGCAGTTGCCAGGCAACCAGTGGAGATTTCAGTAAGCTAGCCACCTAAATCCCCAATTGCTGTTTTTCAATTTGGTTTTTAAGATATAACGGGTTAATTATTTAACTTCAAAGTGCTTGCAGGTGGATTTTATCACCATTTGACAGAGCCGAGCTAGCCACTTCCATGTTGTTCCAGTCTTTATGCTAAGCTAAGTTAAGCTAATCAGCTGCTGCCTGGAACTTTATTTATTCATCTAACCAAGAAACAAAACAAGCGTATTT